GTTCCTTGTTGATCCCGCCAAAGCGCAACTCAAAAAATACATTGTGCCGTCGTTCCATGGAAAAAAGGACATTGTGTTCCAGTTCATGGGCCATATTGTAATTACGCCCGTTGGATCGAATGCAGCCACTGAGCCGTTTACATTGTATCTTCCCGAGGGCATTGAGGCCATTTTACGTCAACCTATAACGAACTACATCAGCACCACGTTATCCGGCCGGGATGCAAATGGCAACCCGCTTCGCAAGGAGAACTGGAAGTCTAAAAGCACAAAAGAGGTGAAGCGGTGGACCGGTAAAATCCCATTTTACTCGGACTTAATCCCTCTGGAAAGCGGTTCCGCAAGCGAAAGCGAGCCGACAGAAAATTACCTGCAGCAGCAGCAGCAGTACCAGCGATCCCCAGGCGAGATCGACGCTGATTCCGAATATCGCCAGTGGTATCAAAAAAATTAAATCAATATGACCGTCCTCAGCTACTCGGAAACCCTCGTGCTTCTCCACCAAAAGAAACCTTGGTATCCAAATTAGGCTCTATTCATAACGAGTTTTGTCCTGTCCTGGGCCGCACGCAGTGCTTCACGCACAGAATCCCCATTATTACACGCTTTCGCGACGAAGGAGGCACTGAGGCGCGCATCGAGTCAACTGCCTTTGTTGATTTCTCAGAAGATCCGAGTGATTGACAGTTTGTTTTTCGTTGCATCTATTGCTTATTCGCTTAAAGCCGTCGTTTGCCATAAAAGAACCACCTTTTCTTCCTCCTGGCCTCGACCCACTAATTTCACTCGCTAGTCCCCCACAATGCTTCGCAGCCAGAGTATCTCCAGCTTTACGGAGAAGAAGAAGCCAAACTTCTTCACTGCGCTCCGGACCAGAAAACTGTCCAAGGATCTCAATGGTGTTTTGAAGGCACGTCCCCTCAGCCAGTCGTCGCTGCTGATGAATTTGAGCCTGAACATCGACAAGCGTCACTCAGTGCTTCTTCTGCCTACTGAAGACAAGGAAAACAACGTTCCTCAGTTGCGTAAACACTCAAGTGCCTCCAACTTGAAGGACTCCAGAAGAAATTCAATGATGGTGAGACCTCGGATCTCGGGCCCTGTTGAACGGGCGCCCTTGAGTCCCCCATCGGACAATGCCTCTTTCGAGACGGACGTGCTGGACAGATTATCTCCTTATACCCCTTCTGCTCCACAAATCCTCGATACTGTTGATTTTGCTCCTATCTACAACGAGCCATTCGACTGGGACAACGAGCCTTGCAGCCCATCCAAGCTACATCGCACAACTAACATGAACAATATCAATGACTTCATCAAGTCTGTGGATTCCCTGCTTTTGCCTATCTGCAATCGCGCCAGTCTTGAATTTGAGGCCAACGAGATAGACCTTTTGCACAAGAAACTCAAGCTGGATCAACTTGAGTTGAAGTTGGTGGAGAACGCCATGTTCTTGCAGTTCTTTGAAGAAGAGCACCGTAAAGAGTACCAGATGGGCGTCCGTTTCTGGGACGATATAGACATGTCAGACGCGCTCAAGAATGAGCCTTACAGCGAAGACGACGATCTTCATTTGTACATATAGGTAATTGATGAATGGAAATGATCATTAGTAAATATTTGGTGTAAGTACTCAATGGTTGCAAAAATGCGCGGTGAACATATGTGCAACCTTGATTTGGGCATGTACAAGATTTGTATAAACTCATTGAATCTGAGATACATTATTTAGAAAAATTGTCAACGGAATTTAGAAAAATCATGTAGACTTCATTGAATGGAATCATTTAAGTGGCTAAGAGTCATCCAGGTCAGGTTAAGCCTTCTATTACCTAGCTATGAATGAAATCCCGGTCGTCATACATTTTCACCAGTAAAAGAGCATTTACCTAACTAGTCGTAAATAATGCATTTCAAAGCATTGAATCAAAGATTTCCCCTCTTACAGCATTCTCGGACCATCGTCTTATCGTCAAGTACACCAACCGCTTGTGGAATGTGCATCCGTACACCAGGCAGAAAAATCAATATCGCCAGCATCAAGCCGTACCAGATCAACGCATACAATGTCCCAAGACGATAGCGCCTCAGACATTAACAACTTGCTTGAGACATTGTCTCTTGCCAAGGCTGGCGAAGCAGAGGAAAAGCCAGCTGCTGAGGAGGTGAAGGCAGAGCCTACTACTGAAAAACCAGCCGAATCAGTCAAAGAAGATGCTGTCGAGCCTGCCAAAGAAGAGGCTGCTAAGGTTACCGAGCCTGCCAAGGAGCCAGTTGAGTCTGCAAAGGAGCCAGTCAAAGAAGAGAAGACAGAGAAGCCCACAGAGCTGGCTCCTGCTGAGGATGCTGATAAAACTGAAAAGTCAACAGACGCTTCAGAGGAGGCTGACTCCAACTTGATCAAATCCACGTACGAAGTGAAGGTCAAATTGGCCGACTTGCAAGCCGATCCAAACTCCCCCTTGTACTCTGTCAAGAAGTTTGAGGACTTGGGATTGAGCGAGGAGCTTTTGAAGGGTTTGTATGCTATGAAGTTCAACAAGCCATCCAAGATTCAAGAGAAAGCATTGCCTCTCTTGTTGCAAGACCCTCCCACAAACATGATTGGTCAATCTCAGTCTGGTACCGGTAAAACAGCCGCTTTCTCATTGACCATGTTAACGCGTGTCGACGAGAACAAACCAGTGGTTCAGGCCGTGTGTTTGTCACCAGCTAGAGAATTGGCTAGACAGACTCTTGATGTCATCCAGACCATGGGTAAATTCACGAAAGTTACATCTAAGCTTGTGGTGCCTGGTAGCTACGGAAGAGGCGAGAGAATCAATGCCAACATCTTGGTGGGAACTCCAGGAACTTTATTGGAGTTGATTAAGAGAAAGCAGGTCTCTCTTGAGCATGTTAAGGTCTTCGTATTGGACGAAGCTGACAACATGTTGGAGGCACAGGGAATGAGTGACCAGAGTGTCAGAGTGAAGAAATACTTGCCCAGAAACACACAACTTGTGTTGTTCTCGGCCACATTCCCAACCGAGGTTCGTGCGTACGCTGAGAAGTACGTTCCAAACGCCAACTCTTTGGAGTTGAAGCAGGAGGAGCTTAACGTGGAAGGTATCAAGCAGCTTACAATGGACTGTGACAGCGAACAAAACAAATTCGAGGTGTTGTGTGAATTATACGGCTTGCTTACAATTGGATCCTCAATTATTTTCACCGCAACAAAGGCCACTGCTGACAGGTTAGCTGTCGGAATGGAAAAAGAAGGCCACAAGGTTTCTTTGCTTCATGGTGGTTTGGACCACGCAGACAGAGATAAGGTGATTGATGACTTCAGAGAGGGAAGAACAAAGGTGTTGATCACGACAAACGTTTTATCGAGAGGTATTGACATTGCATCTGTGTCGATGGTGGTTAACTACGATGTTCCCACAGACGTCAATGGCAGACCAGACCCATCCACATATTTGCACAGAATCGGAAGAACAGGAAGATTCGGTCGTGTTGGTGTTTCCGTCAGTTTCATCCATGACCGTAAATCCTACGAACAAATGGAGGCCATCAGACAATATTTCGACATTCAGATGACCAGAGTCCCCACAGAGGACATGGACGAGGTGGAGAAGGTTGTTAAAAAGGTGCTTCGAGGCTAGTCTACCGAATCTTCATGTATATAATGCTTGAATGTATGTACAGATTAGAGTTAATTGTCAAAAGCGACAGAAGGCTTGAAACGCTTAGGAGCTCTAGAGGCAACCACGTCCCAGTTGATGCAATCCCACAAGTTGTCCAAGTACTGGGCCTTGCCAAATACACCGTAGTCGGGGAGGTATACTTTCATCGAGGCATCGATGGCCAAAAGTGGCATGATCTTTCTATCACTGTAGGAAAAAGCCTCCTCGGCTTCCTCCACGGTACCCAAGGTGGTACTGTTCTCCTTTGGAGCTTCCTCGGTAGTCTCCACTTGAGAACCCTCAATCTCCTGTCTCTCCTGCTGTCTCTTCTTGAGTGCCTCTTCCTTCGCCTTCTTCTGCTCCTTCAATTTTGTGATTTGACCAGAGCGAATAGAGTCGTCAACAGTTCCGGCGTTATAGGTATTCATGACAGCCAATTTGTTGTAAGAGACCTCTGGAGTAGAAATACCAGAACTGGCCTTGATGGCACTGTCGGAGTAAGTGGCTTGGGCCACCAACCAGGTAATACCATTTCCTTTGATGCCCTTGGCGTTGTTGAGCAAAAGGGTTCTGAACTCGGCAATGGAACCAAAAGAGTCCACGATCCATTCTCTCAACTCGGGTGAGGTGGGCTCATTTGGGAACTCAGTCTGGATTGTGGGTGTTTGTAGGAGAGCCAGAGCATCGGCTTTTTCGATTTTTGCATTGCCTTGGTCATTAGGCTTGAGAGACTCCAATGCAAATTGCAAGTTGTGCAATTCCAGAGCCTTTTCGTAGATGGCCTGCAACTGTGGTTTGCTGAAGGTCAAGGTGATCAACTCGGCCAAATCAGCAGGTGGGTTTGTGACAGAACTTTGGCTAAGCTGGCTGTTGAGCTTGTCCACAATATGTTGACCTTGTTTGTACCAAAGCTCTTCAAGGGTTTCTGCAGAGAATAGACCATCAAAACCTTTCTTGGAGGCTCTGAGGTTCTCCAAAGTGGGTACCGTGGGGAGAACATATGAGATAGATCTCACGAGACGTCTATTAACGCCACGGCTTAGCGTCACGGACGACGACGCTAATCTGATCATTAGATATGGGGTACTATGTTAAATGGATCTCTATACTATACTGAAAAATTCAATGAAGTAACGGTGCGCGCACGACAAACAAGCGTACCGGAGAGCTAGAGGTTTACACTGACTTCTACAAATTGCTCGTTTTCATGATACATTACCTAGTCGTTTACCAAAACGACGTCTTAACATCTCTCGAGGTGGCGACTATAGCCCCCTGTCTCAAATCTCTATAGTACAGCATGGAGTTAGCAAAACAATCAGCGTGAAAGCGCTATGATCTTCTGCTCACCTTCAAACTCTTAACTCTCCTCAAAAAAGAAGAGCCTTGGGCATCCTCGTCTGCAAAGGTACCCCTGGTGAACTCGCCAGAATTGTCATTCGACGTTCTAGCAGAGTTCAGTTCGCTGCCACTATTCTTGCGTAATCTATGCACCAACGACTTCTTTCTACCCAAACCGCTGGATGGAACATTCAAAAAATCATCAGTTTTTGGAGCTGGAGCGCCATCGAGGAAGGTGGTGGAGCCCAAACCGGCAGTTGAAGGACCGTGTATAGGTTCGGCCTTGGCATGCACATCAAAGGCCATGACAGAAGGGTTTTGTCTTGGGGTATACATGGTCGATGGGTCATTGGAAGTACGGTTTGTCTTGGGAACGGCTGGAATGCCGCCGTTTTGAGCACCGACAGAGCCCACGATCTCGTTTTGATCATGGGTATCGCCGAATGCCATGTAGAGGTGCGAGTCTTTGTTTGCGCCTTCTGGTAAAGCTTTCATGGAGGTATTTGGCCCGTCAGCGGGGAAGGCCATGACGGGAGCAGCCTTCTGATTTTTGTTTCTGTGGGGAGTACATGCATCGAAGGGACCATCATGGTGGAACCTGCCGCCAAAAAAGGCGCTGACATCCAATTTGTCGATGGTATCCAACCCCTTGGAATTGTGAGGCTCAACAGACTTCTTCTTGGGTGACTTATTTCTAGACTTGTAGGAACGATGCTTCTTTTCGTAATCCTTCCTGTGTCTTTCCGAATCACTGTGAGAACGTTGGGGTCTGTTGTCGTGTCTGCGGGGCCTTTCCGACCTCTCAGATCTCTCAGATCTCTCACTCCTGGACGAGCTCTTCTCCCGTGGATAATCACGAGAGGCAGCATTCCGGCCAGCGGCTTCCTCATAAGTTGGAGGAGCTGGTGCAGGCTTTGAGTCCTTGGCTGGACGTGGTGGTTTCGACCTTTGTGATGATGATACGCTTGTGGGGGGCCTGGATGCAGAGGGTGGGGGAGGAGGATCCCTATGGTGCCGGTACTCGCCGGTCATCGCGGAAGCGAAAGGATTGTTGGACATTCTAGCGAAAGTTAGTAAAGAAAAAGTTAGCAAAAAACTCTGATCAGGAGTGGGAGTAGCAATGCAAGGGGGAATATATGGGCAAAAAAAGCTGAAGTCTCAAAAGCGCGCGAGGGTACACAGACTCATGCACCACGCTAGAAACCGCTCTGTTTGAGGGCGACGTCAGTAATCAGTGGGCTCGAAGTTCCTGCAGGAGACGCCCCATGCTGCGTGGCGAAGCTGTTAGGCCGTTTAAGTCGCAAGACGAGAAAGCAGGGGACAAAAGCAGGGGGACCCAAGATTTGATGCACTGAATATTCATAATCTAGATTGGGAATTGCGGGTGGAATTATTTTGCGAAGCCCCATCTTAAAGGAAGCGCATTTTGGATGCCGCGAATATTGTAATCAAACAGTGCCCCTGTAGCTTGTCTTTTTTTTTACGTCTTTCATCGGCTGGGGCGGAGCAAGCGTGGTGTGTTGTAGTTTCGAGACCCGATCAAAAACGGCAACTTCGAGCAGTTCTGGTTCGCTGCGACAAGGCTGCAAAGCTTATTATGGCTGCTTTGTGAGCCGACACACCGGCTAGTAGACACTGCCATTAACATAAAAATAGATCCAGCGGATGACATGGACTTATTTTTCACGTTCTTGATCACGATGTGACATTTGGATATGGATTGATTGTAGACTTTCCGGTTGCTGGCGTGAACACCGCCTCTCTCTGTTTTTTGCTAGTCTAGGCGCTTTGCACAGTAACAAGCCACCGAGCGAGCAAACGGAGTCTAATTTTATGCTTATTTGGGACACAACCGTGAAGCTAAAAATGGTCATTAAAAACCGTAAATCTTTTGGAACTGCTTTTGCTTCTTATGGTAGAGGATTCTTCTGGATGACTAATAAGACTATCGTGAATTGATGATATAGGAGAATTGAATGAAATATGAATATAGGATGCACTGCTTTTGGGATGATCAGAATGGATTTCAAATGAAACATACCTTCCATAGTTAACGTCGCTGTCGCTGCCTGTTCTCGTCGATGAGGGAAACGATGGTCTCTCATACACCTGGTCACGCTCTTCGTCGGAGTCTTCTATTAAAGCCTTGTTCTTCTCTACCCACTGCTCGAAAGCAGAATTCGACAGTTGAGTCGAAGCGCCACGATTTCGGGTCTGGGGCTCAGACTGACGGAAGGGGTTATTGGAAGAAAGACGGCGACTAGAAGAGGCGCTTCGGGTGTCTTCCGAATGATGGTTCATGGCCATAAGTGGACGGACGACTCAGATGTGTGGCGAGTCGGACAGTAGCGAAATGACCAAGAGATGGGAGAATCACTGATCTTTTTAGGTGCTCACCCATTGACGGGATCTAGACGTCAAGTGTTCTGGTGCGCGCACGCTGACGCGTTGGTGTGCAAAAATGCGGCACGGGTGTTCCGCCGAAGATCCTTATGTTTGGAGCACACACTTTAGCAGCGGCAATTGTTCGTACGAACAAAGACCTCACGGGTATGGTATCAAACCACATTGTTTCCGGGTGGGGTGAAGAAATCGAGGCACCGTGGTAATTACGCTTTTCGTTCTGTGATACGGGCAAAACTATTCGGCCACCTTGGCTGAAACTTCTAGAAGCACCACTCTCCACAAATGTCAGCCCAGTGACACTGACAGAGATTTGCAAACCGGTGCAGGAGCCATGAGGCAATGGAAAATGTCTTATCACAGATTTCAAGCAAATAGCCGCGCCGTGCTTGGCTGCAACAATGCGCCCAACCAGCCACACCTCCGCCATAGCCTGAGGCGAAAATGCTACTTTTGGTCCTGGAGACAATTCGCTTAAATTTTCAGAATGAGCTCCACGTCCAGTCCAGTGGCACGTTGTTTGCCAATGAGCTGCGGCGCCTATCCTGATGCGAACTCTGGGCAAAATGGGCGGCCTCTTCGCTGCACAAGCTGCTGAGGCTGCTATCTAGAGCTCCGCCAGGCATGATGCTATCAGGATCATCTGTGTTGAAATAGGGGTTCTCAATGAATGCGTAGGGCACAGAAACGTCTTGAGTTTTCTCTATCCGCAAGTTTAGCGCTTGCACCAACTTCAAGTAGTTCTGTCCACACAGCTTGCAGACTTTGCAGCTCTTGAACCGCTGGCGCATGTTGACGAGGCTTTTCTGGTCCAGATGTAGATTGGCGAAAATCGGAACCACTAGCCGAGCCTTTGCGTCCATCATTACGCCCGATGCATGTTCAGACGACGCCAGGGAGGAGGTAGTGGATGAGAAAACCGAGTAGCCACTGGAGTTGGAGGAGCTTGAACTCGACCGCTTACTTGGACTGTTCACTGTGCTGGAGCTCAGAACCAGCTCTTTGTTCTTGAACAAGCAGTTGACGCAGTACAAGAACCCGCAGAAGCGGCAATGGTGTCTGCGTTTACGTTGCGGACTGAAAAAGCTCCCAAACGCATCAAAACACTTGGTGCAGTGTTCCAGGGAAGAGTTGGGTCTCCAGTGCTCGTGCGTCGGTTCTGTCAAGTTTTCACAGGCAGCCTCGTCGTGGGCCTCGTCGTGGGCTGGCATTTGGAATGGGTATTCTCTAATTTCTGAATGGGGCGACGAAGAGTCAACTTCACTGACGTTTTCAAGTTCATTCTCTCCCGGTGGCCGGAGCACCGCCGGCGTGCAAAGCGGCTTCTTCAAGCTGTACACATGCTGAAGAGAAGCGCCTCTTGCATCCACCAAGTTGCCATTTGCCCTGTGGCGGGCTGAGCGTGCAGCATAGTCACCGTGATTTACTCTTTCCGCGGAAGTGGTGTTCTCCAGCAAATTAAGCAACGCTCTTTGGATCTTCAGCAGATCCAGGCGCACTGTCAGTTCGGATGCCAGTGTATGCGAGCTAGAGGAGCCCGATCTATTGGAAGTACCGCTTTGGGGCAGATTTGAAGGGAAGTAGGTGTCCAAAAGCAGCAGCAGCGAGTTACGGCTGAGTGGGGCCAGATTCCGTCGCGTGACGGCGTTGAGGTCAAAAGTAGCTGGTTCGTAAGGCTTACTCTCTTCATGATCCACATCAGCGGGAGCCAATTCGGGTCTATTTTTCGGCAGATGCGTGTAGTGGGAAGCCAGGGTCATGCGAGGGGCCCGGATCTGCTCATCGTAGTTTATGTTGTTGAGAGATGGTTTCGAAGTCGGCCCATTTTCGTCTGGAGCATGATGATGGAGGATTTGGGAGATCCCCAGGGAGTTGTAAACGGAACGGATGGGTTTTTTCGAAAATGAAAAAGGCGGTAGCAGCTCCAGAGTCTCGGCAACAGACTCAACGGTCTGCTCGGACATGAAGGGAGTTTTTGGAGGAAGTGGGGGGTGTTTAGTGATGAGATGGTCTAAGGACCCAGAGATAGCGGTTGATGCAGGGCACTAATAGCGGAAATTGGACCGAGGCACCTTTCTAAAAATCTCACACCGGTGTTTTTTATATTGGAGAGGAACTTAGAAAAAAACAGAAATACCAGTCAAAATAGCTTTGTGCCCCGGCACTCCTACTACAAACGACGACCTTGTTCAATCACTTTTAAGGGGCGTGGGGCCCACTGATAAGAGCAATCTTCCGGCGGCGCTACTGGTGCACGGGTCTGGCGAGCCGGATGAGCTCGGGCAGTTCACTGAATTACGCCCTTCTACACTGACCACAAAAATCGGAAAAAGGGGGTGGATTAAATGTACATAATCGGAAGTCTATCTAGTCTCTCAACACCACGTAGAAAGCGTGGATAATGGCAGGGAACCAGAAGAAGATACAACACACAATGTTGATCCAAAGCTGAGTGTCGACACCGACCTTGAGGAACACAGCCAATGGGGGCAAGAAGAGTGCTATAGGTTAGTAGGGTCCAGCATTGCATTAATTCGAAAACATACCCAAAATGCAGCCAACAATCTTTTCGCTATTCATAATGTGAGTGGGAAAAGTGGAAGTTGAGGTGTTTTTATTCTTACCAAGCGGCTGCCCTGCAGTCACGGCACCACCCTTTTTTGGCATCATGAAATGCGAAATGCTCGGCACGCCGCCTCGGTACTGATCACTAAATAACCGTGCGCACAACGGATAAATAATACGAGATAGGAGGTCACACGAATTCTGTGGATTACGGAATACACGGGTCCTAGACTATTTACGAAGACAACTTCTTGGACGCCTCGGTGTCGTTCTCAAAACGGGCTCTCAGAAGAATGGATCCACGGTTCAACATGTCCTCCAAGTCAAGCGAGTAAGGAGCCTTGGTCTTTGTGGGGTCGTTGTGGGTCTTGACAACCTTGAAGTAGTTCTCGTACATGTTGCCGTCGTAGACACCAATGGCGGAGTTCAAGAAACCATCTGGCTGCTGGAAAGAGTCAACCAATGGGACGGCCTGGCCTCTGACCTCCAAACAAGACTCTGGCACAAGCTTAGACGAAACCTGCAAAGAGAGCTGAGGCTTGATGACAGCGTAGGAGACAAAGTCACGAGCAAAGGCCTCCAAGACGTTCGTCAAGAGGTACAACTTAGTGACCTTAGACAAGACGTAGGCGATTTCGGGCTTGTCCACCTTTCTGGTGGCAAGGAAGAGGGTCTCCAACAAGTAGTGGTGAGCATGCAACTTGGACAACAAGACACGCTCGTAGGAAACAGCGTCCCAGGACTCCAACTGCTCCTGCTTCTCAGCAGCAGCGGCAGCGACTCTGACAATCAACACCTCAAGAGCACGGAGAGTCTCAATAGCGGTCAATTGCTCCTCACGCTTCAAGTAGTAACGTCTGTTGAGGTACTCCTTGGCATCAGACAAGTAAGCGGTGGAACCCTTGATCTTGATGTCCTTCTCGAGAATGGTCTGGATGTTCTTGATCAATGCCCGGCCCGCAGACATGCCCAACACGTTGTTGTCACCCTCCCAGGTACACTGGACAACCCAGTCGGCGTAGGACTTACCGAAACCTGAGTAGGCAGAGTAACCGCTACCACCACAGGCCTGTCTGGTCTCGGTGATACACAGCTCAGCCAACCATGTGAGGGTGGACTTGAGAGCAGCAGAGTCAACGAAAAGGGACTTGGTGTTAGCCAATGCAGCGTAGATGGCCTTCTCGTTCTTCTTGGCGACTGCAGCCTCCAAGTTCTTGACAGTGTCGGCGTGCTGTCTCTCCAAACGGTCAGTACCGAGACCCATAGCGTAGGTCAAAGCCAAGTAAGGCATGATACGACGCTGGTGCAATGGGTAGTTGATCAACTGAGTCTCTTCCTTTTCGTCCTCACGCTGGTCGCTCTTGAATTGACGTCTGCCCACAGCGTATCTGGTGGCAATGGTGATGAAACGAGCACAGATACGGTAACTGTCAGAAGCCATACCGACACGGCCCTGCAAAAGGGAAATGTAGGACAACTGCTCCAATGGAGGCAAGTCAACCTTACCGGAACGGTCAACCTTACAGAACTTCTGCAACATGAAGAAACGTGGGATTCTCACGTTGGAGAACTGGATCCAACCATTGTCGACACCCTCACGGCCCATCTTGGAACCAATGTCACCAATGGCCACACCAGGCATCAACTGGTGTCTCGAGTCTCTCAAAGGCACGACAAAGGTCTTGACACCGTAGTCCTTGCCCTTGATGATCAAACGAGCGTAAACCACACAGTGAGTAGCAGAGTGAGCAGCACCACCGATCCACCACTTGGTGGCACCAATGTGGGGGGTGTTGACAACAAACTCGTCAGTCTTCTCGTCAAAAGTGGCGGTGGTCTCAACACCAGCGGCGTTGGAACCGTGGCCCAACTCGGTCATACCGAAACAGCCCCACAATTGCTTCATGTGACGGGCCTCCTTCTCGACGCACCAGTAGTTGTACTGAGCCTCGGTACCGTTACCACGGATACAGTTGATGAAAAGACCCAAGTTGACAGAGATACGGATACCCAAGGAAGGGTCGTAGACGGTCATCAAGTTCAATCTTCTCCAGAAGTCCTCGTAGGGCTCATTCTCAACATACTGGGTCATTCTGTTGATTCTGGCGGTGGTCTGCTCTCTGTTCTCATCACGCGAGAGCTCGTAGTCGTGGAAACCAGGAGCCAAAACAGGGTCTCTCTCCAAAGACTGGTAGAGCTCCAAGATCTTCTTGGCCTTCTCTGGCGAACCCTCAATGACAGCGTGCATGTCAACGGGGTCGAAAGTAGCATTGGCTCTTTCCTCAGCGATCAGAGTGACCGGGTCTGGTCCAGGCGAGGTGCTTACAAGGGATTTGCTTTGAATAACCATGGCAGTTGGTGATTTGATGAAGGAGCGGGCGCTCTGTGCTTATATAACTCTGGCGCGAGTTTGTGGGGTACCTTCTTTCACAGGACGGGGTGCGTTCCGTGGAAAAGCTCACCAGCGGCACCAGCCAAATCGGGACCCTATAGAGAAAAGCCAGATAATTTAGACACCGAGAAAACAGGGATTAGCCGGAGGGGAGCAAGTCCGAAAAAAGTTCGGCTATTGAAGGATGCTGGAATTTCAATGGAACTGGGGGGAAGCATGGGGTACATTTCTCGGCTGCCACTTGCCCCAGGGGCCACCCATAGGAGTGGATTCCGGGGAGGCTCATATAAGAAGCGGTTCTACATTTTTTAACTTTACGAAACGATCTTCCTACTAACTCAATTCTGATTCTTTAAACCATTTTATCCACTTTGTAGGCTGCTGACGGGCTCCTGGTCGAGGATCCGAGGAGGCCCAGACCGCAGCGGCTAAGCACAAGCTACGCAGCACGTTTCTACAGTGGTTATCAGACAGTGAAAAATGGTAAATACGGAAAATCCGAAGTGGCGCCACCTTTGATTTAGCTCAATTTACATCGTGAATAGCTTAGATCGTGTCTGATTTATTCATAAAAATTATTGTTCATTGAATAGATTGGCTTTGATTAATCTGGGGGACCCCGGATGTCCAATTTTTCAGTCTACTCCAGTCCGACTACACCACTCGTAATGCTAGCCAGAATCGGTGAAGAATACCTCGATTCTTCATTATAAGCCTTCATTGTTCGTCCTTCGTTCTATCTTCTCTGAATATCCCGTGCCATCCCACTTTTTGTGTTAGCCCCTGAAGCCCAATGCATAGTGGAAAATGCGCTTTGACCACATCCCATGCTTTTTGTGTTCGGCTCTACTTACCCTGGCATTATTCCACGGCACCAACTTGACATGTCGATCAGATGCATAACTAACGGTAAATCTGTATTGTCGCTACAATAAAAGAATACGTCATTACATGAATTCATATACTGCCGAAGTGACTTACTTAGACAAGATAGCAGCGGTAGCAGCACTCTTGTCACCACCGTCTCTGACATCGAGAGACGATCTGCCCAAGAAAGCTTCGAAAGCGGCGCTGTATGGAGCCTTGGTGTTCTCTGGTGGGTTGCTCTTCTTGACAGTGTCAAAGTAGTTCTCGTAGATGTTACCGTCGTAACGAGCAATTGGAGCGTTAATGAAGGTGTCAGAGTACATGAAGGAGTCGGTGTAAGCAACCACGTTTGGTCTGATCTGCTTGCACAACTCTGGGATCTTCTTGTTGACAACCTCGTTAAGAACAGCTGGTGGGACAATGTTGTTACCCAAGAAGTCACCACCGAACTTCTCAATGACGAAGCTGGCAGCATGCAACTTACCCAACAAGACCAAGTGAGAGTTCAACTCCTTGTGCTCGTTGGCCTCAATTCTTCTGTAGAACTCGTTCAAGTGGTAGTAGTGAGCGTGCAACTTGGAGAGAACCAAGGATGGGGCACCAACAGCATCGAAGTTGCCGTTGTTCTCCTTCAAGACCTCAGCACCGTTGAGGGCAACTCTGGTCATCAAGACCTGGATAGCCTTCAAGGTGTTCTGTGGGTCGAGCAACTCCTCGGCGCTGTTGAACACGAGCTTGTCATTAGCCCACTGCTTGGCGTCGTTCAAGAATGCAACAGCACCCTTCTGCTTCTTGCCGTCCTTCAACACCTCAACAGCGGATCTGATCAATGGCTTACCAACGGACATGGCCAAGATAGAGTTGTCACCCTCCCAGGTACATTGGACAACCCAGTCGGCGTACCCTCTACCGAAACCGTTGTAAGAGGAGTAACCAAGACCACCACAGGCCTGTCTGCACTGGTCAATGGCGTCGGCAGTCAACCAGGTGGAAGTAGACTTCAAGGCAGCGGAGTCAATGAACAAAGACTTCATCTCAGTGACAGACTTCATGACCTTGCCCATGTCGCCAGCGGCCACGGCAGCGTCCAAGTCGTCCAAGGTCTTCTTGATGGTGTGCTCCAACTTCCAAGAACCGGCACTGAAAACGTAGGCTTGAGCCAAGAAAGGAATCAATCTTCTCTGGTGCAATGGGTAGTTAAGCAACTGAGTCTCAGTGCCATCGCCCTGCGAGGCAGACTTGAATTGTCTTCTACCAATGGCGAATCTGAGGGCAATGGTGGCGAAACGAGCAGTCCATCTGTAGGAGTCCATCACCATGGAAACTCTACCACCAAGCAAAGCGGAGTAAGCCAACTGCTCCAATGGAGGCAAGTCAACCTCACCCTCACGAGAGACCTTACAGAACTTCTGCAACATGAAGAATCTTGGGACTCTGACAGAGGAGAACTGGATCCAGCCGTTGTCAATACCGTCTCTGCCCATCTTGGCACCAATGTCACCGACAGTGACACCTGGCATGACATTGTGGTCGGCATCTCTCAATGGAACGACGAAAGTCTTCACACCGTAGTCCTTACCGTCAACAATCAATCTGGCGTAGACGGAACAGTGAGAAGCGGAGTGAGCAGCACCACCGATCCACCACTTGGTAGCACCAATGTGAGGGGTGTTGATGATGAACTCGTCAGTCTCCTTGTCGAAGGTGGCAGTAGTCTCCAAACCAGCAACGTTGGAGCCGTGAGCCAACTCGGTCATACCGAAACAACCGTAAGCGCCCTTCAAGGTGCCAATCTCTCTCTGCTTGCTCCAGTACTTCAACTGCTCAAAGGTACCGTTACCACGGACACAGCCCAAGAACAAACCCAAGTTAACACCGATACGGGTACCGGTCTGGGGGTCGAGCACGGACATAAGAGAGACTCTGGTGTGCCAGCTCTGTTCGTCCTCAATCTCAATGTACTGAGCCAAACGAGCGATTCTGACGGCAGTGTTCTCTCTCTGCTGCTCCTTGGTCAAGTCGTAGTACTTACCGGAGGTCAGCAAAACAGCGTCTCTGTCGAAAGACTGGACAAGTCTCTTAAACAAGCGAGACTTGGCGGCGGTCTCCTCCAAAAAGATGTGCATCTTGTTTGGGTCGAACTGGCCCTGGGCTCTCTCAGCAGCGAGCAAGGCCTTTGGGTTGGGGGCGGGGGTCGAGTCCACGAACCCGGAAACCTGGTTATCAGTGTCAGCCATTTTTAATTAGTTTATGGTTGGTTGGAAAAAACGACGACGCATGCCGCTCTTTATATATTTGCCGGGGTACCGAGCGGGTGCAGGTTTGTGGAGAAGCGAGTATCGCTAGATCCGAGGGTCACTGGACCGAGGACCAGTACGGTGTATGGAAAAAGTCAGAGGACTGTGAACCGTCCTGTCTCCCTAAGCGGTCTGGATTACCTCATTTTTCGCTTTGAGCGTTTTTTGCATACTTTACCCGCCAATTCTCCTGCCAGGCTGACCTTATTTTTTTTTTTTCTCTTCCATTTCCTCCGCACCCCTCAACGGCGTTAACCAAAGTGATTATGGCTGCTTTTCCGAGCCCTTTAACCACGTCCATTGTACATCTCCAATTTCCCGGCAATCTTCTTTTCCCTATTCAGTGTGCCAGTTTTCTCTTAACTCCTCCGCTTCAAAACTCTATCTGATCATGCCACCTCGGGCAGAAGGGTCTACGTGGTCCGATTTTTTTTTCATACTGTGGTTTTCATTAACTATGTACATGGGTTAGATCTGAGGAACCAACACGTCCATCAAGGGCAGCTGGATGAACCACACGCCGGCGGCGAACGCGGTGGCGTGGAGGCCGATCTTGAAGAAGGGCGATTGCTTGATCTGCTCGTACAGGGATGGGGCGGATTTTCTGGCCATTTTGTTGTAGCTGATGGGTAGAAGGGAAAAGTTGTTGCTCGCTGAAAAAGAGAGCGAAAAGTCACGTGCCTGTCACCACCCAAGAAGCGCTCCCTCTGTCACCCCCGTACAAATGGCGTGATCTGGGGTATCCGTGAAAGCGGCTTCTGCAAGATGATTTAATATTTTAAGATAGCTGAGTCGTTCATCGTTCGATCGTTTAAATTTTGTGGGGTAAGCCAAGTAACTTGTGGTTTCAGTCTTCTGGACCGCAGCTTAGAACCGCATCTGAATCTTCGCAGCCATTGGGAATGTCGGATCGCAAGAACAATAGTGATGGAGATTAGGCAGAAACAATCGGTGATAGCATTTGACAGACGATTGGGCCGATGGCCGATCAGATATTTTGGCTCGCTTGGTTTTGTGCACTTTTCCCCTTTTGTTCGTAGATATGTGATTCTGTCAAATGTCGGCAATCGGCAGTTGGAACCGTGAATGAAGATCAGTATACGTTAAAGGTAAAGGTAAAAGCAAAGCCGAGGAACTTTCAGACGTCAAATGGCGGGGTATCAATCTGACTTTGTAGAAATGCAATACGAATTACAGTGCAGCTTAATGCTTCATCTGTCATCGGTGCACAGACTAGATGGCCTCATTTGCACCCACAGCGTCATCCAGGATGGATTATTCCTCGGCAAACCGATACACCAGCCGAAGTAACCGATCTGTACATTTACTTTGTTTTTTTACTTTACGGCCTAAAAGCTCTGAATAAAGAAATTTGACGTATTACCTTTTGCTTGTTCACATGTTCTTCGCTAGACTCACTTGACGGCACGTTGCGGCCGGATCCCAAAAAATGCCTCATTTCAAGTAGGGCCAATCCCAACCACCTCATTTCGTCTCTGTCACTTAGAGCATCGAAAATCATCAAATTCAAATCGAAATGATTTTGGACTTTTGTCTGAAAAGCCTTGTCTGACCCAGGACTTATACCTGCAGGCCATCACATCTTGTAGTTTCCACAACCTTCAAAAGCACCATGAGTCCCACACCAGTCACCGCTGAGAACACCTTTTCGTTAGCTGGCAAGCAGCTTAAGCTTGATACTGCAAAGAGTATTGAGTCCTATTTGGGCGACTTGGACGTTCAGAAGAACGTTGTCAAGATCGATTTCTCTGGTAACACGATTGGTATCGATGCATCTGAAGCCTTGGCTAAGGCCATCTTGAAGCACAGCCTGACTATCGAGGAGATTGACTTCTCCGACTTGTACACGGGCAGGTTGAACACTGAGATTCCCCAGTCCTTGGACCACTTGTTGAATGCTTTGTTGGAGTGCCCCCACTTGACCACCATCAACCTTTCCGATAATGCATTTGGTTTACAAGCGATAGAGCCCATTGAGGCCTGGTTGGCAAAAGCCGTCTCTATCGAGCACTTGATCTTGTCCAATAACGGTATGGGCCCATTTGCTGGTGCCAGAATCGGCAAGTCTTTGTACAAGTTGGCTCAGGAAAAGAAGAAGAAGGGTAGAAACTCCTTGAAGACCTTTGTTTGTGGCAGAAACCGTTTGGAAAATGGCTCTGTTAACTACTTGGCTATCGGTTTGAGAGCCCACAAGGACTTGGAGGCCGTTAGATTGTACCAAAACGGTATCAGACCTGCTGGTATTTCTAAACTTCTTTTACAGGGTTTGTCTTACAACTCCAAGTTGAAGATCCTTGACTTGCAGGACAACACCATTACTACTTCCGCTGCTGTCGGGTTGGTCACAGCCCTCAAGGCTTGGCCTGAGTTGGTCGAGTTGAACTTGAACGACTGTTTGTTGAAGCCAAAGGGCTCTCTCTTATTGGTCGAAAGACTCCTTGAAGGCGAGAAGAGACCAGCTTTCGAGAAGTTGAAGTTGCAATACAACGAGTTAGAGACTGACGCCTTGGAGAAGCTTGTCAAGGTTGTCGATGAGAAGTTGCCCAACTTGAAGTTGTTGGAATTGAACGGAAACAGATTCGAGGAGGACTCCGAGCATGCTGACGCCATCACAGCCATCTTTGAAAGCAGAGGTGACGGCGAGCTTGATGAGTTGGACGATTTGGAAGAACCAGACAGCGAGGACGAAGAGGATGATGACGAGGAGGATCCAGTCGCCAACGAGGGTGATGACGCCAACTTGGACCAACTTGAAAAGGAGTTGGCAGGTGTCAGCATTGAGGACAAGGACAAGAATGTCGATGCCCTTGCCGATGAATTGGCTTCTACGCATATTAGAAACTAAATACATAGGCTTTCATATATATAGGTCAAGAATTAAATTATTAAGTTGCAGCCTTGGCAATTGTTACTGGGACCTTAAACTCCATACATTGGTTCCCAGTGAAGCGAATGACGAAGCGGAAGTAGTAGAGCCTGGACATGAGGCAAGTTTGAAATGACGGAACCAATGTGAAATCATCGTATGCTTTGTATTTTTGGGAAAGCAGGTGATTGTCCACCAGCATCTTCTGAGCCTTTGTGACATCAACTTTGAGGGACAAGGATTTCTTGAACACTCCATTTTCTTGCTTCTGCCAAGGAGTCTTATTGCCCTCCTTACCGAAAATACTCTTACCAGAATCATCCACGGTTTCTAGCTCATTAAGAACTAGCCTATTGTACTTTTCATCAACTCTTGACATAGCTGCAAGATCTTCAACCATGGACTTTTGCACTCTGAAATTGTCAGTTCCAAGAGTCTTGAACAAGTGGTACAATTCAGTTGCATACTGCTGCATAGGCCGCTTCACAATATGGGTGAAGTCATCATAAGATTGCTGACCACTATCTGTCTTGGAAACATTTTTGAAAAGAAACTCGTGATTCAACTCGATGGGAATAGGTCGGTTGTTTGATTTGAGAGTGAAAACGATCAACTCACCAAAGACAGATAGAATCTCTGGGGCCTTAATGCTAGGGTCATCTGAGATTCCGCATGGAGTATACGTAAGTTCAAGAGGAACCTCCAACTTCCAAGACGAAGGATCAATCGGGCCTCTGGTACGGAATCGCTTTGGGGAAATATAACTGAGGAGATAGTCGATTTTGGGTGTAGTGAGCAAAATCGAGCCCTGCTCCTTGGGCCTGCCAAAGAGTGGCTTCTTACGGAAGGGTACCACGACACTATAATTTTTCGGGACAGTAGAATCCACTTTGACGTCACGGGAAGATGATGTTCTTGAGAAGAGCTGTCTTAACTTTGTCGAGTCGTCATTAGTCTCCTTCCGAACGGCTTCTTCCGCTGCAATTGTATGGGATAAGTCCACCGCAGTATTACCGTCGTCCAAATTTTTAATGACTTTGCATAATTCATTGCCCACAGCTATCCGTTCCTTGATTTGACTAACGAAGCTGTTATACATGACTCTGGTAATCTCATTGCTAGTCTCCTTTTCCCTGTCGCTGGGGATTTTCGTCTCCTGTAAGATACGAATAAATGAACCGGCTTCTTTCAAAATGACGAACTCATCACCGGAAGCGTTTATCAATTTGAATCCCTTAGAATCGGTCTGAATAGCATCATACTTCGAGGCTTTACCAATGAATCTTGCCCATAAGCCATGACTGATTGAGGTATCAATAAAGGAGAAGTCGTTGATCTTGTCGTCATTCTTTTTCCACTGATTCTTTTCAGCTGGGCAGAGACCCAATGTAGGTGGGAGCTCGGTGTGTCCAGGAAGATTGTGGTCGTTACACTCGGAGTCCAATAGCCTTGTAGGAATCTTAAATGTGAAGAATCTCTTATAAAGAATTCCAGGGTGGAGCAATTTTTCAGGCCCAATGGCCAAGTGGGAGCCGTCAAGGGGATCCACAAGCTGCTCGCGATAGTTGGTGTCTTCTTTTTCACACAACAATCGGTTCACAGAAGCTGGATTCCACGAAGCGGCAAAGTCGTACATCTCTAAGAAACGTCTGATCTTCACTGGCCGTCCCTTTACATTCTTAGTATCCGAGACAATGAAATTACCATCAAAGTTCACATAGAACATGTCGAAGGGAATGGGCTGCGTTCCTTCATTTTTGAAGTAAATGAAGCCGTTTAAATAGTCGCCCTGCTTATACTCGTACAAGGATGGGTCAATGATTTCGGGCTTAACACCACGCTCACCAACATCCTTGGTAAAGTGCACGGACAATTGAACTGCCTGGGTCATTTCATTATTACTGTCGGTCAAGTTACGTAAGTGTGCGTAGTTATCCAAAATTGTCTCTCTCCAAGAACTGCTGGACTCATCAGCGACAATGAAACTGCCCTCACCCAGCGACAACAGTGCCACATCGCGGCTCCTGCTCATTTGAGACACAGTTGTTGGTTCAGTATAGATCTCGCTGGAGAGATGGGAAGAAACAACCCGACTGGCGCCATCTGACTCAGCATACTCTGGGTCTTCCGTGTACTGCGGGGGGTCCAGCTCACCCGTGAAAGTCGAGTGGTACATGTAGTAAGAGGGCAAGATGGTCCATATTGGATCTTGCGGTTTACTCATGGGCCTGGCCCCGTCATCTTCTTGAGGCATGGGTTGAAAAGTCACCGACAGGCGGAGACGGAGATCTTATATGTTGCAGCCATAAATAAGCCTGTCTATGACTCAGCCGGAGTGCATAGGCGCCGCAAGTTCATGCCTTGTTGGCTGCAACCGCACAAAAGAACGGTGGAGAAGGCATTGTGACTAAACGGGTGCCATGTTAGGGAGATATTCCGGCCAACCTCGTAATCAGATCCATTGATCTAGTCTTCCGTCTCGTCCGTTCGGAAGCCGTCTTAGTTCCGGTTGTGTGTATATGGCGATCCGTGCGAGAGCGGCTTTTTTTTTTTTTTTTCAAGCGGCTTGAACCTTCGAACCGTTTCGCAGCGGTTCCGTCGCTCCTCGCATTACGAGCCTTGTGGACACTCTCCTCAATTGAGAATTCCACCAACTTCGTAATCCATTCTTTTTTTTATCGCCCGAACTTTTTGAGTTCCCAGTACCGGGCAAACGGATACACCGTCCCGCTGAACGCCATACAAAGCCACATTGCTATGTCACCACCTTCTTCACCTCCAACTTTCCGCGCCAACGGCCCTATCCAGTAGGCCTGCGACATGCCCACTGCGGCTCCAGCGGCTCCACACACAAAAGCTGCCGTGGCTGCAAGGCCTCTGGTAAGTCGCTCGTAATCGTTCCAGATGGCGAAATTGTAGAATTGGCGTCTTTTTTTGTAAAGCGCTGACGTGCCTTCTTCCACTTCGTTCTCCTTGGTATAGAGGTGGTGGAAGTATTGGCTGCGAAAAATGGTGTTTTCCTCAAGAAGCATCACAAAGTACATCGAGATCCAGTAGCCCACCATCGGCAAGAAGTTGCCCAAAATATCACTAAACTTGTTGCGGCCCACAATGGCACACACAAGGTAAATAGCCGTGAGCACAATGGCCCACATCCACCTAGGCACCTTGGCCAATGGAATGCCGATAAGCTGAACACCAAATGCAGCAGAGTAGGTGTTGAGGATGTTGTTGGAAATAAGGGAAAGGAAGATAAGTACGAGGAGGAATTTGCCGCCTCCGCCCCAGGCCTTGAATGCCTCATTGAGTAATCCGCCCATTCCCATGGTCTCGTAGGCTTCAGCCCATGGACCGTAGGTCAAGGCGACATTTCCAATAAGAATAGCCACGGTTCCCACAAACGTCGTGGGCACCCAGATGCCGAAAAATGTAAGGGCAAAAATCTGCACGTCTGGGGTATCTTCAGGAAAAAGAATGTAGTAGTCGGATGCAATCGAGCCCCATGTGCTGGTAATGGAGAAGCACAACGAAAAGAACGAGAACATGTTACCCTTGACGGTAGCTGGGTCCACATGTGGAGCATCGGCATTCAGCAAGTACTCGTACTTCTGAGAAGAAACCACATAAAGCATGAGAAAAGCAAAGTTCACTGGCAAACTGAGTAATGCTTCCACACGAAGCAAATAGTGGATACCACCGATGGAGACCAAAAGCGATACACATGCAATAATAACAATTGCCGCTATAAGCGGAACCTTGCCGTCGCTCATGGATGAAAGGATCTGGCCTCCAACCACACAGTTAACCACAGACCAACCCATCACACCAATGATGCTAACCAAACAAACGAGCTTGACGGACCACCATCCAAACAAAAACCGGGCACTGACCATCTGTCTGCATCCAGAACGAGGGCCCATTAACGAGCAGTAAGCAGCAACGAGGCATCCAACTGTCATACCCACAAGACCAGTGATGGCGGTATTCTTGAGCCCTAGTCCGAAAAGCAAAGGACCCAAGTAGAAAGACGACATCGACGACAATCCTCCACAAGCCGAGAGCCAAAGGCCCATAACAGTGATAAATTGCTTTCTCTTGTTCACGGCCCTCTCGTAAGGCTGTATCCTTTCGATGCCTCGGGCTTCTACTCCGAGCGAGTCGAGCTTATCAGAGAAGCGTTTAAAGAACCCATAGGCACGCAACTCGTCCGTGGACTCCAGGGCCGTATCTATAGTTTTCTCTATGGCCGAGCCTTTCTTCATCTGGAGTATGTAGTGGTTTGAGAAGCGGGAGAACTGTGGTGAAATATCTGATCTCTCTTGACTCTGCAGGCCGCCCTGACTGCGATGGCTGCGAAACCGTGAGTCACGACAGTGTCACAAAAATCGGCCTTACATGGGGTAACTGTTGCTTAATCGTTCATCGAAATCTTTCCTAGCATCTGAGTCAACTAGGTGAGTTTATTGCTACGTCCTCAAAGTGTTGCGTAGTCATGACTATTCATCTATATGCTGTGCTTCAACCATGGAAACCAACCAAGGTCAATGATTTTTGTTCATCTAGAAGTCTATCCTCCCATCCCTTACCTAACAGTTTGACACTGGCACTCACTTCTTAAGCAATGCATCGAGGGAGTCCTCGTCAAACATGTTGCTTCCCGATTGTAGCGTCTTGGCCAACATCACCACCGATTTGTCTGTGAAGTCAGGCTTCTTTCGAAGCTCGTCAATGTCGTTTGCAAATGAAGATGCCATGAGTGCCAAGTATTCGTTTTCAACTTGCTGTTTGTCCTTTTTGAGTGTCTCCTGTGCCTCTGCCAGTGATTGGTTCTCCAACGAGGTGAACTTTATACTCCTAACTTTCTCCAGTATTTCTTTAGAAAGTGGCTCGTTTGCCGCCTTGGGAGTCTCTTCATCTGACTCCATATCCACATCGTTGATGTCGATGTCTGCTTTAGGCTGTGGAACTTCTGCGTTTTGTGGCTCAGATGGGCTCTCGTTATCTGAAGAGGAGTCTGACTCTGAATCAGAAGAAAAGTCCTCCGTTCTTCTCTTCTTCCTTCTTCTGTTCTTTATCTTCTTGTCGTTTACTGGGGGTGCCATAGTAAGTTGTGGTTCTTGATATTTCGCGATGAGGATGAGGTACACATTGTCTCGCGCGAGGTACCTCTCGTACTATACAATTATTTCTTAGGCTTCTTCGACTCAGACTCATCTGGTTTGGCCTTTCTTTTTTTGACCATTGACGACAAGTCATTGACTGCTGGTTTCTTCTTCACCATATTCGAGAGGTCTTGCACTGCTTTGGCGGCACTACTGCCCTCCCCACTAACAGCCTCTCCCATTATTCCCTTGATGATGTCCATTTGCTGGGCCTGTAGGTCCGCTTTGGGGCTCTTCTTGAGTTCCTTGTATCTCTCCTCCATATCGCGCAACAAGATGTCGTTGTCCTTCTTCTTCTCCTCGTCAGTTTCCTTAGTGTTTCTCAATTTGACACTTTCAATGGCATACTTCATCTGCTCCGTGGCCTTTGCTCTCAGATCATCGGCAAGGCTGAATTCAAGAGCCAAAGAGAGTTTGTAGTGGCATTCAGAAACCAATCCGTTGTCAGCAGAGTAGAGCTTTTGACGCAATTCTAGACAACTCTGCAAGTCGGTAGCAGCCTGAGCGAAGTTTTCTGCTTCCAACGACACTTCACCTAGAAGATCGTAAACCTCAGAAAGCTTCTTGACTGTGGCAACATATGGAGAGGATGTGGTCTCGTCGGCGTCCTTCAAATATGGCGTGTCAAGTCCCTCCGCAGACTCCCCTTCGAGTTTGTTGTCCAAAAGAGATCTTGTGAGCTCGAGGATTTCCCAAGCAACTTCGAAATCAGATTGCTCGGGTGCAGCCTCCTCTTCTTGTTCCTGGGGTGCTTCTTCGTTCTCTTCATTCTCTTCGTTGTCCTGCTCCTTCTCTGGTTCAGCATTCTCGTCGTCATCCACCTCAGGAGCAATTCCATCCTCAAAGTGGAAATTGCCATCGTCATTCTCCTCCTCCTCTTTCTCCTCTTGTTCTTCTTCGTTGTCGCCAATACCACCTAACATTCCTGATCTAGTGACAGCGCTTTGGAAGAGAGCCTTACCATACAAAAGAAGCAAGTCCGCATCATCCTCTCCGTGCTCCTCATTGTACGAGGCACAAGCGTCAGCATACTTGGTGGCAGCTTCATCGTATTGCTTGATAGCATAGAGTTTAGCACCCTCGGCGATTGCCTGGGATATCGTCTCTGAATAAGCCATGGTGGTATACGCGTTATGTAGATGCTTCGCGCTATGTATCGTGTTGATGCCGATGGACTACACACACAAACAAAAGCTGCGATTTCGGTGGAGGGTTAGATAGCCTTCCTTACGATTTTCATAGTGTCAAGGGTCTTTGGGTTAATTGGAATTGAAGCTATCACGGCTACTTTGACTAGCCTGACTTCAATGGTTTTATTCTCTGAAAATGCCTTGTAGGCCAAGATGTGGCGAATATGCAAATACAGTTACAGAACCCAGTAACCATTTAACTAGCAAAGACAACTTAATTGTAGTATACGGATGAACTTGGTTGTCTCACTTCATATGAAGATAACAGTACTCATAATTGTCTAAAAAGAACTTACATCTGCATGGTACCTTACAATTGCTTTTCTTTCAAAAAGCCCCAGGTTTAGCTTCAAGCAGTTTTCAAATTCCCTTCTCTTTTCGGACGCCTTTGTTCGGTGTTTTGCTTAGTAGCTACGCGGGGTCGCATCAACATGCATGGCGTAAACCTGACAAAAACCGGTTAAACATCAAAAACTAAATTTTGATCGAAACAACACTAAAGCAAAATTTAATCACTGACAGACTCGATTAAACTTTATACCGTTGTGGCTAAGTTTTCCCTACACTCACGTGACCACTCACCTACTGGACTCCCATTAGAGTGCTGCAAGAAACAATCACAGCCATTTGGAAGAGTAACCAAACTCCCTTCGCCCTTTTACCATGGCTTCTCAAGCGCCTTCAAAGAAATCCCTAAGAAGGCGACCACCCCCTCCTATGGAGGACCCGGCACCCCCGCCCGTGGTGGTTTCCAATCCAATGGGTACTCCACAATCGATGAACCTGCTACATTTTGAAACTCCGTTATCCATGACATCTCCTCCCCTACCGCCCAGAGACCTTTCACGCCCTATAATATCCACACCTCAAGAGGAGGATGAATCCTTTGAGGTCAATGAGGACTCTGTGCTCTCGTACGAGAGCGTTAGGCCGATGGGACCGAAACAACTACCTATGGATCACAGCTACATAACGAGCGAGACATTTCAAGCCAACGATGGTGAGTCACCTTTGTCGGCAAATCCTTCAACTTATACCGAAGGCTTTCTGCCGTCTCCAGAAACCCAAACGAGCCATTCCACATTCACAGATCAGTCCCTGAGTTCCCGATCCAAGAACTACCCGAGAAGAAAGTTTATGAACCTTCTGCATGGAGGCTCGTCGCCGTTCGTCTCTGATGACTATGCTGAAAACATAAAGCAAGAACAGGAGCAGATGGCATCGCTACATATCCCACCTAGACCTAAGGGATCGGTTGCTGGTCCCAATCCCATGCCTTCTCCTCCATATCCCCTAGACAACAGTGAAATTTTTGAACTGGACGACAACCAAAGTCTTTACTATCCTTCCCAAGACCAAAACACTAATACCCCTTTACGAATTCCCACTTTGGTTGGCAACAATCTCCTGCCTTCCACACCAACGACATTGGACTTCTCCCTTCATTCACCCTCCCTTAATAACAATGCTCCACATAGCTCACCGCCGATTGAGGGAAAGTCTCCATTACATGAATCTCGTTACGGCCTTTACGATCTGCCGTCGAGTTCGCCAACAAGATCTCCAACAACACCTTCTAGACCCAGATCGAGCTATTTCTACGACAACAGCCGATCGCCATCGCCCACAAAGAGCAATGAAAGACCGCAATGGCTGGTACATGATTCATCCTACAATCAGGATCTAAGCTATGACGAGGCCAACGACTCTCCAGAGGAAAGAATCCCCCGTTGGAGTTTGCTTGAAGCAGAACAATCTGACTATTATGATGAAACCGAGCAATATACCCCTGCTCCAGCGAAATTCGACTATTCAATTCTTCCTGAACTTCCAAATGCGAACGACACCCATTTATACCAAGGTGACGTAGTCACAAGTGTTCCACCGCCTGAGGAAGCAGGAGAACTACAGCGCAGTTCGGTGACCATTTCCAGGAAGCATGACTCACTTCCACCAGTACCATTGGATCTACCTCGCCTACCATTTTCTTCCTCGTCATTGAATGCTCAGCACTTTGCAGTGTGTGAACAGGTTTGGTCGTTGAGTAGCATTCTTGCCTGGTGCCTCAAGCTTAAGTGTTGGCTTCATGACTCTCCTATTTCAAATGATGAATTGAAGAAAGCCCTCGTCAAACTCGTGGTCTTCCATAAAAGAAGTCTTCCGGTTGACATCATCAACAGAAATGTGATTCGCATGCTTGAATCTCTTATTGACGATGGTGCTATTAGCTTGATCTCTGCAGTTGACTCAAAACCAGGTGATCCTTCCAATATTAAAATTGAAGAAAATGCCGAGGTCAACTCAATCTTCCCGGAATTGACAGACTGCTATGGCTTCTATAAGGATCACCAGACGGAGGACAAGAGTGACAAACTTCTATCATGCTATTCTTCGAAGTGTGACATCAATAGATGGATCGAACAGAAACATAAATTGGAGACCACAAAGATTGAGGACATTGAATTAGGAGCTGATTGGGCAAGCCATTGGCAGCTTGCAGCTGAGGATATGGACCTCGAACCATCTGCTACGAAGCGTCAATCATTTTTGTTTGACTTGATTAAGTTTGAACAAAAATTCATCCAAAGAGCAGAATGTTTCGTTAACATCGTGGGCCCGGACTTCATCAAGACTGCCACTGCCGCCGCGGGGGCATCAATTGTTACTTCCTTGAAAAAATTTAGAGAAGATATCATGAATCCGGCGAAAGATCTTCTCGAGGTTCACAAGTGCGTTCTCATGGAACCGCTTCTCAAATTACTTCTCGCCGAGGGGAGGATCATAAGAGATGTCTCTAGTATAGCAAAGTTTTACAGCACTTGGTCCAAATCGTCTACGGATGGCCTTTTACAGTACATGGGTGTGGTCCCTATGATAGAGGACATTCTCAAAAATGACATTCTCAAAACATGGGACGAGAGCCTCCGATTGAATCCAACTGTTCAGGAACTCAAAGTCAATGGCAACATGCTTTTATTGAGCACATTTAATTCAAGATACCAACAGCTTCCTTTGCAGCTTTCGGATATCCGCAAAACATACAAGGAACATGAGAAAGAGTACAAGGCGCTTACGAAAGCTATTGACGATATCAAGAAGCTAGGAACTAAAGTCAATGCCATGAAAGTACATGCCGATAACATACATGCACTCAGACGGATTGAGAAGCAACTCACATGGAAATCTAATGTGATACAGCCCAATTTGCATCTTCTGTCCAAACTGAGAAAGTTTTTCTTTCGTGGCAACCTTAATCGGAAAGGTGACTTAAAGATTAATACACATGCGGTGCATGTTATAGTTCTTGATAACTATATTCTTATCACGGAGAAGTCGAAGGGACCACGTTCCGCAAGTTACAAAGTCGTTGAAAATCCAATTCCTCTTGACTTCGTCATTCTCGAAAATCGTGAGCGTGAAACCGGAGCGCTAGCCACTATTACCACTCCAATAAGCGGAAGCACGAATAACAACAACAAAGAGCCCGAGAGTATAGACTCTGACGAGTCGTCCTACCCATTCAAGATTCGCTACGCTGGTCGTGGCAAGAGTCAGGCCTATACATTTTTTGCTACAAGTGAAAGCGAAAGAAAGAAGTGGTTTACAGGAATTCTTCAAGCCCGCTCCAATCTTTTAAAGAAAGTGAAACCATTATCTCCATACGATTTGCAGGGAATGGAATGTGCCTTTTTTGCATACGATCATAACGACCGCATGTTGAAATTGCCGATTTGTCCTTCAAATGATCCTTTACAGATACTTTCAAAAGAGACTGGTTTGCTTCTTAAACAAAGGGGTGTCAGAAACGAACTATGGACAGCAACTGCCGCTCATGACAATCTCGTATCTGGCAGGGTAAAGTGCTCGGAGCTGTTTACGTATAAGGGAGTCTGTCTTCATTTGGTTGGCTTGACGACTGGTCTTTATTGCTCAGATCTCAAGAATCGTTGGAAGCGTATGCTCAATGTCAATAATGTGACTAAGATATCTGCTCTTCCAGCCTTCAATGTCATTATCGTCTTGGCAAACAAACAGTTGAAATACTACCTGCTTCCCAAGTTTGTTGATGTCTACTTGGAAAGGAAGGAGACTCTCTCATCTACGATGTTATCCAATGACCAAATCCAATTTTACGAAATTGGGCGCCACCGAGGTGTTGTAACGTTGTTCATTGCGAAGAAGAAGAACGCCGGAGTCACTAATTTTAACGTCTTTACGTTGGAGACTGACAATAACGGAGTCTTTAATTCATTCTTCTTGATAAAGCGATTCTACATCCAAGCCGAGTGTTACGGGCTCGACATTTTCAACACGACGATTGCAGTGCACACTCAAAGGGGATTTGAAGTCTTGGATTTACAGCGGCTACAGCCACGGACTGTGCCAGAGCTTCCACTGTCAGAGGGCTCGAACAAGAAGATTGACGTCTACAGTCGGAAAGGCCCGCAAGGAAGCGATGCAATTAAAAAGGCACTTTCTCATAGTGGAATTAAGCCAATGGGCATGTTCAAGCTCAATAACAATAAGGAGTTTCTTTTGGTCTACAGTGAGTGTGCCATTTTCGTGAATAAGCTGGGGAAGCTTTCGCGTAACACAATGGTCCGATTCGATTTCAAGCCGCGAGCTACAGGATTCCAAGACAACCAACTATTCATTGTAAATGAGGAGGTGATTGAAATTTGGGCGATTAGTGATCAAGCCAAGGGCACCAACATGCTTCACCAAGTGATTCCGGGCAAGGATATCTCCGTGATAAACCCGGAAAGTATGTGCTTCGTCGCGGCAAATCCACGGAAAATTGGATTACAAATGGTATTCTACGTGCTGCCCAAGCCACCTGCAGAAAGGAACCCCGTTAGTTAAGATCTCGGAGTGACACATGTGAGTCCTACGGACTTAATCCACGATTCGCACCCGAGGAGATAGCTGTGGGGAACAAATCAGTGCATGCCGGACATACTATATAAGGATTACAGGCGCTCATAGTTACGAATCTTCATCTTCTCTACAATGTACAGCTACGACGTGAACGGAAAGACTGCTGTTGTTACTGGTGGTACCAGAGGCTTGGGTCTCTACGCAGCCGAGGGTTTTGTGCTCAATGGCATCAAAACTGTCGTCATTACCTCCAGAAAGGAGAAGGCTTGTCAAGAGTCGAAGGCATACTTGGAGAAGCTTGCTAAAGACAACGGCAAGTCTGTGGAAGTGATTGCCATCGCTGCTGACTTGGCCAATGAGCAGGACTGTCAAAGATTCTTTGACGAGACTAGCAAGAAGGTCTCCCAAGTTGACATTCTTGTCGCTAACGCTGGTGCCACCTGGGGTGCTCCATTGGAAGACCACCCAGTGTCGGCTATCAAGAAGGTGTTGGACTTGAATGTGGTTGCTGTCTTCCAGACCATCCAATTGTTCACCCCATTGCTCGAGAAAGGTGCCTCCGCCAAGGACCCATCCAGAGTCCTTATCATGTCTTCTGTTGCTTCATTGCTGGCTTCTGACCCAGTTGGTATTTACGGATACTTGGCTTCCAAGTCGGGTGTCTCGCACATGGGAAAGAACTTGGCTCTTCACTTGGGCCCAAGAAACATCACGGTCAACTCCCTCGCTCCTGGATTCTTCCCCACAAAGATGTCCCAGGGCGTCTTGGACATGGCTGGTGACATGATGATTGACCAGAACCCAAGACAGCGTCTTGGTGAGAAGGAAGACTTGATCAACGCTGTTATGTTCTTGTGTGCCAAACAGTCGAACTACATCAACGGTATCGTGTTGCCTATCGACGGTGGTAGCCACATTGGCAATGCCAAGTTGTAAGGGTCAAGCTGCGATTATATGAATCGTGATCTTATATAAATAAAACAATGGATCGCCCGGACGCTATAGCATGTAGTATAAGTTGTTCGTATCTTCGCCAAATCTAGTTGGTTCTGCACAAAGGCCAACGTCAAGGTGGATGCGGTGCACCAAGTTTCCTAAAAGTATATTTAGACCTAGCCGACAGATAGACAGATACTGCAACGAAATACAATATGGGATTGGCATCTTCGACACTTCTAGAGTCCTTCATGGAAGGCACAAATTTCGATCGTGAGGAAATAGACAGACTAAGAAAACGGTTCATGAAACTTGACAGCGATGGAAGTGGAGCGATCGACAAGAACGAGTTTCTAGCAATCCCTGGTATTTCATCAAACCCCCTTTCAAGCAGGTTGATGGACGTTTTTGATGAGGATCATGACGGAACCATCGACTTTCAAGAATTTATTACCGGCCTTTCAGCGTTCAGTGGTAAATCATCTCGTGCTGATAAACTTCGCTTTGCATTCAAGATATACGATATCGATAGAGATGGGTATATTGGTAATGGTGAGCTTTTCATAGTGATGAAGATGATGGTTGGCAAGAATTTACAAGACGAAGAACTACAACAGATTGTGGATAAGACGATCCTGGAAGCTGATGCAGATGGAGATGGTCGTCTAAGTTTCGAGGAGTTTCAGAACGCAGTCGACTCGACCTCTGTGGCTTCTGCATTGACTTTGAATAATATTTAGCATCAATATACCCGGGAACAAGCTTCGTTAATGATATATCAAAACTGACATAGTGTGACGCATTTCTCTCGCAGTCCAGTAATCGTAAGAGGTGACTCATCTTTAGAGCTCAACACATTTGTTCAAGTCCAAACGTGCCTTTTATGGCAAAGTTTCATTTCTAGGACAAAAGCTTTAGGATCAGTCTTCAGGACGTCCATGAGTATCCATGATTTTCGCAGTTTGGTTGCAAAAGACAAATCTTGAACAAATTGTATATTTTTACGAATTGATTGTAGCCGAATCCGTAATTCTACGAATGAATGTTCATTTGAAACGATTTTCTTCGCTTTCTCGAGTTTCCCATTTTGGAATCATGTTCAACGCCTTATCAAACTGTGGGGCACCGCAGCGCGATAGGAACATTTGGTACACAACCTACTATCAATCTTAACTTCGTCATGTCCGATGATGCAGAGGACTTCGAATCCATAAACCTAGCCTCTGTTGCAATTGATACGAAACCACTATCACTGCTCGGTGCCGTTCCAGAATCTTCAGACGATGGTCTTGACCCCAATGACTTCCTCACTCAGAACCAGACAGAACTACCTCAGGCGTCAGAGTACCTGGATAAGAATGCCACGGATGGCACGGTGCCTGGTGATGATAGATCTGCATCGCAACTGACAAGCCATCTCTACGAGAGCACCTTGAGAGACTCAATGTCTCCTTCGGTCTTCAGGGCCGATGATCTCCTGTCCTACGATACGGAAAGTGGCTGGCAGACACGGCAGGAATTCGAGCTGCTTCTAAGATTCTTGCTGGACAAGCTGGATACTTTGAAAAAAGAAATGAAAAGGGACATGCTGCTCCACAAACAATTCTTGTCTGAGGGCAGTGATTGCAAGCAAATACGGGAGATTATCGGAGACAGGTTCCTCCAAATGTCCGAGAACTACTATGCATTGAACGAAATATACAACAAGGAGAGCACTATGTTACGTGGCTTCCTTCAGCACCTCGAAAAATGGGACTCGAAGAGATCCAAAATATTGAACCGTGTGAAGTCCATCAAAAGTGATGGTCATAACTTTGGCGTGAAGTTGGCGGACCTTCTCAGAAAACGAAACGACATCGATAATGAGATTGAGGACCTCGAGAATCGCTTGAAGATACTTCGTGAAAACAAGGTCGTCGTCGAAAATGAGATAGACGAGGCAAGTTCGGTTTTGGAGAGCAAATCAGCCAAGTATGTCAACCTATTCCGAGAATTGGAGAAGCAAGGCGAAGGCGTGATAACAGGATTCTTACTATCAAGCGGCCTTCCACAAAATGACCTTCAAGTACTCTTGAGGCGACATCCTGTGGAGGCAGCATTCAGATACAAGACTCCTGAACCAAAACTGGCTCCGCCAGACGCGGCAGTTTATCCATCTAGGCAGACTAATAATAGCGTTCCTGATATCAAACAACCAGAACCACAATCGAAGCCACAGCTGAACGTCATGGGTGCACAAGCCTTTGAAGTTAATGAGGAAGAGCTTCCCAACTTCGCAGAAAAGACAGCCTACGAAAAAGGTTACGAGAAGGGTAACGAGCAGCTAGCCAAGGTTAAGGAAAGAGTCTCAACAATTATTGAAGCAATGTTTAGACCCCAAGAGCAACCCAGATTGCAACACAAAAATGTGGACGATCAACTGAATACGATAACAGACATGATAGATTTGGTTCCAATTGTTGAACTTCTATCGCACCGAATTGGTGCTTTCGAGGATCTATGCGTGGTGTCGTCGAAGCTTTCAGCGCAACTACATCATGACGGTGAGTCTTGGCGAAGCATTGCATTGACTTTGAGTGGGAAGGAAGAGAAGCTTCTAGAGATCTTATCACACTCGACACCAATGACGAAAGAAGTCAAAGAAACACTAATTTCTAGTTTTGAAGCCACCAAGCGATTGTACGAGGAGCAAACAAGTTCACAGACCACGGATGGTCTGCTTCGATATCTCCGTATTTTGGTTCACCGAGAGATGAAAGCAATTGCCTCAACATTGGAATCGATGGGAGATGCAAGTTACTTGAGTAGAGTTTCAAGTCTTGAAAGCTCGGTCGATGAGGACATGTTGAGCCTCGACACTCCCATTAGACCTTTGCTGAAATTCAAAATGACGAATCAGGGGTACAAACCTGCCGCTGTCACAATTGCAGACACCATTAAAGAAAATATTGATGGTCAGAATTTGCTGAGAAACAAATCTCTTTACGAGAAATCCCTTAAAGATCTCAAAAATGAATAAGTTTCTATAAAGTGCATTAATTGGGTAATCATGGTCTATAAGAGTTGGGTGGGCGACCTGAATTGCCTCGTCTTCTAATAAATACATCGCTTGACTTCTTGCGATTTCCATTTCCTCTGGATGCAGCTGGCGGGGCATAGACGCCACTGTTAACAGCCTTAGGGGGCTTCTGTTCAACCAGCTCCTTCTCTCCTTCGGGCAAAGCAGGTTGCACACTTTGTTTGGCTGGAGCAGTTGCAGCATTAGTGCTCTGTTGGCCATTATGGATGTAAACTCCACTTTTGTTTACCTTTGGCTTTTTTGGCAAAGATGGATTGGTAGAACCGGCTTGCTGTTTGAAAACAGCCAGAGGTTTTTTCTTGAGAGGTGGTTCAAGGTCAGACGGCAGCAAAACATCCTTTTCTGCTCGTCTCTTGGGTACAGCAGTTTGAGATGCTTCCTTCACCACTGCATCAGGTGCTTTAGTCTCTGTCACCTTAGGTGTGGTCAGTTCGGCGATTGACTTCGATGGCTTCGATTTACCCAAGTCAGGATTACCCTCGATTCTCTTAAGGAAGCCAGGTTCTGCAGAAGTCATACAATGACGTGACTCCGCGTCATTTATAAGTCTTGACCATACCTTATCTCTTCTCAAAGACGACTTATTACCCAAGATCCAAAGCGTGGTACGAGCACGAGTGAGAGCAACATTCATACGTCTCACATCACTCAAGAAACCGACGCTTCCGCTCTCGCTAGCTCGTACACACGACATGATAATGATTTCCTTTTCCTGACCTTGGAAACCGTCCACAGTGTTGAAATCGATTTCAGCTAGGATAGTGCTTCCATACTTTTTTATGAAAACATCCCTTAAAGTTCTGATTTGTTCCTTATACGGCGAAATGATACCAATTCTACCCTTGAACTGGTTGGTGGGTAAAATGTCCATCAACTTCTGAACTAACTCCAACGCGACTTGTGCCTCTGAATAATTGAAAAAAGATTTCGTCCTCTCACTCTGCAGATGCCTACTGACAATGTCAAAGAATCGGTAGGGTGTGAAAGGGTATTCGTTATGCCATGGGCGGCTGTTTTTCTGGAGCATACCCGAACCATCTGTGAGTTTCGAGTTATAAAACTGAGCACTTGGGAATTTGGAAATATCAGGATGCATTCGGTATTGAACATCCAACAAATAAACGGAATTTGGATGCTGTCTCTGCATTCTCACAAATAAACTCTCTTCGTAATTATATGAAGCAGCCTTTTGCGATAACACTGTAGGAGGAAGCTGATTTGGATCTCCCACCATAATACATTTCTTGCATCCATATCTCAAAGGAATAATAGCAGAGAGCTCCACACACTGGCATGCCTCATCAATGATGACTTGATCAAACTTCATCGACATACTAGCCAAGAAGTCATGCGCAGAACCAGATAAAGTTGAGCAAATGATTTGTGCTTCAGATAAGATTTTGGCTTGTATTTGACGCCTCTCGATTTCTCGTGTTCTGTAGGCAATTGAGGCGTTTTCTCTCTGATCATCAAGTCGCTTTCCGAGCTCCGACCGTTTCTTGTTGATTTCCCTCAATTTCGTTTCAAGTTCTATGATTTTATCATCTTTCAAATCACCCCTCTTGAGCTCTTCACGTATCTTGTCACGTTCTGCAATACACTTCGTGTGCTCGCTTCTGATACCAGGATCAATTTTTGCTTCGGTGGTACGAACACTAAGTTGTCTCTCAATGAGCTCCTCCAAACTAAGGTCTCTCACCGCTTGATTGATAGCATCGCTTCTTCCCAAACGAACAATCTTCGGGTTAAGAGATGTTCCCTTCGAGTCAACAATGCCATCTCTAAGACGAACGACCAATTCATCGACAGCAGCGTTACTCGGCGCACAAATAAGTACTTTAGGACCCTTGGGTGTCTCTTCTGGAGTTGCACTGCGAGACACTGAAGATGAAGGAGTAGGAATACGAATTGTATTCTCAGCACGGGTACTCGAAAGGAAATGACCAACAATGCCTAGAATTGTTTTTGTCTTACCAGTACCTGGAGGACCCTGGATAAGAGAAAAACCCTCAGCTTTGGCTGAAGCCAAGATAGCTTTGGCCTGTGAAATATTGACGTTATTTTGTCTTACCATGGCCTTTGCCTCATCGTCAGAGATTTCCACAGGTTTTGAAGGTTTGCCAGCTAGGATTTCCTCGCACAAGTCGTAGTAAGGCAAGCCCTTAAGGGATGAGAATTCTCTCTCGACAGTAATCATCTGCATCACTTTCATTCCCACAATAACCGTCTTCGGCGTCAAAAGACCCATCATGGAGCCTTGCGGGTATACTCGAAGAGTTATGTCACAATAATCAGAATTTGCATGCTTTATGTTCCTGACCTTGGCCAAGCAAGTCTGAGTCCCAGGACGTTTTAGGTACTGAGATACTTCGTTGGCATGCTCAATGCCCTTGTCTGCGACGTAACCCAAAACCATTAAGTCTGTTTCACCAATTTTTCTCGTCGAAAGATCAGCCTTTTTAATCGAAGCATATACATCGAAGAAACCATCACAAGTTGTACGGCTACCCACCAAAAGTTGAACTGGTAATTCTTGACCTGTTGTCCTTGAAGATTGAATTCCCTGCCAACACTCAAGCATTAACAAAGGCTCCGTGAGTTTCACATACTCCTTCACATCTGTGTAAGAGTCTTTGATCGGTTGATAGATGTCACGGTCTTCAGTTGGGTATGCACTATCCGAATTGTAATTCCATTTCAAAATAATAGAGTAAAGTGGCTTCAAGTTCACATTGAGACGCATTCTCATCCGCTCTTCTTCTCTGCGTTCTTGATTTGCTCTTTTATTCTGTGCAATTTTTGTGACTGGATTACCATTTATGTCCAACTCAGTGATCTTTGACTTCTTCTTCGAGTCCAAAAATAGGTCGGACGTATCAATGCCATCATCATCCTCATCGGAGGAATCAGAATCAGCACCCTTGTGCTTCAAAGCATTGAGAGACCGACCAACAACGGGTGCACGTTTTGAGTTGAATCCAGCAGGTCTCGGGGGAGCCGGAGCAGCCGCTGGTTTTTGTGGAGCTCTGCTATTTTTGAGTTCGTTTCTGATTGCTTCCAAGTTGTTGGACTTGAAAGGTTTGGGAGGTGCTGGAGCAACGGGGGGCTCTTTTGAGACAACACCAAATCTTGTAAGTAACAGTTGCTTACTCTGTTTAGGTTTAGCAGATTGATATGCATATGTGGCGCCTTTTTCCACTGGCTGCGGACGGGTAATAGCTTGTTCTTTTGTGGCAGAGCGCTGTTGACGAGCTTCTTGAACGACTGATTGTACCAAAGCTTCATCAAACTCGCTAGCTTTAGCAAGGACATCTTCTCTTTGTTGCTCCGTGAGTTTGTTGTTGAACTTCTTCGCTTTGGCACCATACTTCACGAATGTAGTCAAAAATTCTTTGTCAACCGAAACTCCCATCTCTTTTGCGAGATCAAACCCTTTGAAAACCAAGTTGACGCATGAGTTTAAAAGTGATAAGTCTCCAAGTCTCAACCACACAATAACATGATTGAAAGCTTTCAAGAACTTTCCAAACAACGGTCCTTTCACCTCAGGATTGTCTAAAAAGTCTAGTGTAGGTCTGAAGGAGTCAAGAAGTGAATGACTCACATCAAGAACGTCACGCGTGAACTCCACCAAGTCAGATAGATGGTACATAGTAGCCCAGACTAGGGTGAGCTGATAAATCATGACTAAAAACAGCCAGCTTCCAGCCCAAAGCAGCTGAACAAGCTGACCACAGTTCTGAGCCTTTTCCGATGTCGTTGTTAAAATTCCTGAAAGAGGGTCAGCGAGAGCAGTGGTTACATCCATCAAGATTCTCACAGCTTTTGGACATGGCTCGAAAGCTCTCATGGTCGTTATTGTTGCAAAAGAGTCCACTATGGCAGCTAAGTTATTTTCAATCGATGAATTAAGAAGACCACAGATGGCCTCATAACGCCCTTCAGCATCATAAACCAGGTATAAAATGTTCAATGCAGATTGATTGGTTTCTGGCGAAAAAATGCAACTCCACATCGCCATCAGCGAAGCTGCATTTTGTAGAACAGCCAGCATCAGTTCAGGGTCAGCAAGTGCAAGTTTTTCGAGGATTGCCGAAATGTTAGTGCAGAGCTTTCTTGTATCTCTGTTATGCATGTTGATAGCGGATTCTAGATCCTTGTCAGGACTGCCATTTTTTCTCGGTTTGAATATGATAATGGAAATGACGTCGTTGAGAGATTGCAAAAGAGCACTTAACATCTCTTGCAGTTTGAATGGAGTATCAAGTAATGCCTCCCAAAGTGAGCTATCGATATCTAATAGGGTCGGGATTTCCTTCTTTTGCAATTGCAAAGAGTTGTGTGCGGTGAACATGATATCGTAACTGAGAGATAGCTTGATTAACTCTGTAGCACTAGATGCAAAACTTCCCGACGGATTTTTAGCGGTAGAAACGATGCTTTTAGCGTGTCTTGAAACTAACTTTCGGGCATCACTCAATCTCAAGAATCCCAGGGGTTCATTGCGACATTGAGCTAGGGTTGTTGAATCGAAGGATAACAGCAAGAGTCTCCAAGGATTCAAACACTGAATATCTTGAACGACGTAGTAATCGCATAATGTCACAGCGGCGGCCAACTTTTGGGCCCCGGCCAATGATTCTATGAACGGAATTGCCCAAGACGAGAGATCAACCAAACTTTTTGCGTCATTGGATGCCTTTGCCTTCTGAAGAAGACGAGAATGAACTGGACTTTGAAGAATTGCGTCGGTGAAGTTTCTATAGTAAAGCCCGTCAGATAATTTGTAGAAGTCCACTTTAAAAGCTCTTAGAAGGATCGTAAGAAGTCGAAGAAGAATTGGTAAAGTTGTCTCCATCTGTGCAAGAATGTTGTTTAAAAGGACACGAGCCAAAGGAAAAAGCCTGATTTGAGTGAATTGACTCAGCTGTTCGAGATCCTTCGGTACAGCGAATCTTTCAATATGTGTAGCATCCAATGGGCTTAAACAGTGGACAGCCATGAGCCAGAAGCGCTCCGAGAACTCTGGAGTATAGTGCTTTGCATCCTGGACACGGTAAAGTTGAAAGTGGAATTCATCGACCACCTGAGGATCCGGTTCAGAATTCACGGCAGCTGATATGAGCTTCTGGCCCACATTGCGAACGACCAGATCATCGCTCACGAAGAGCATTATAGAAGCTGGTGTTAAAACGTCCGGGGCTTTCAGATCAGGCTTCGTATAGTATGAAACCGTTTCTTTCAATAGGTCCGCGTCATCCCTAAGGATTGTGGGATTCTGTAAGCATTCGAAGGCCAGCATTTCATCAAAACCGTCTTGAAGCTTTTGCTTGAGTCGATTTGCAATCCACTTGTTTATGATGCTGAGGAATTGGTTGACTTGAGCAACCGGAATGTGACGCAAAACGACAAAGCGATATCTCAACTCTGACAAGCATTTGTAGAAGCCTCTAGCATTCTCTTTACTTGAGATTATACTGCGAGCCAATCTGTTTTCAACAACAGAGTTTGTCTTGCCTGGAAAGGAGAACATAATGAGGGCATGCCCGGCAATTGGTTGAATGGTAGGCAGTGAGAAGAGATCACACTCGTTCTCAGTGTAATCCAGCTGAAGGAACTTCATGCATCTCATAAGAACACTTGACTGAAGCTCTGAGGAGCCTGGTTCTAAGTGACTCTTCTCGATATCACGTATCAACTCATCTCTGAAGGAAGGCAGGTCCATGATGATCTTGAGGCCTGCAACTGAATCTAGGGGATCAGAGATGAGCTTGCAATAAGTTTACAGATATGCAAATTTTTATTCGTCGATATGACCACAAATACAGGGAGAAGCTTTTGGGCCTCTTGGTTGAACTTCCCTTTCGAAAGGATCGGTGCAGTGGGACCTAAAAACTGAGAACTGATGCGATACGCGATGTGGTGCAGGTGAACCCATTGGCGCGACCTCGCTTGCTGATATTTTGCAGCCGTTCTCACATCAAGACGAGGTCAATATCCAAGGCGTCTGCTGCGGAAGCCCAGTCTTCACCACTTTCCCAACAGCGTTTCATTACCATCAAACTCTTTGAAGCGTTGTTGTTACCAGATTGGGCCATCCATAAGTGTCTCTCGTATATCTGCTGCCTTCTCTCTGGATCGAGGAGTTCACACCCGGCGCAGAAATGGCAAAAGATGGTACAGAGCTCGGCAGAGCTTCTTGGTTCAATTCCAAATCGCAAGACATCGGCCATGTCGTTTGCAATTTGTTGAACGATCGGTGACAGCCGAGGGATTTTGAGAATACGACGATAGAGGTTTATCATCCCCATGTAGAAGAATAGCTTGTTGCTGGCACGAAGTGTGTTATCGTGTGCAAGAAGTTTGTCTATGCCTTTGTGCTTATCCGTCCGGGAGTCCTGCTTTAAGGTCGTATCGATGTTACGTTCCGTCAGGGCCTGCCTCCGAATCTCACCTGCTTCGTGGGCCTGTGTGAATTTGTGTTTGAGTTCCAATGCCTCTGTGACTATCCAAACAGGTAGCTGGGGAACTTCATCGTTCGAAGCTTCCTCTGCCTTCTCGACCTCACGAATAAGGAGTGCAATGTTGATGAGGTGAGGGATAATACGGCTGTCAAAGCCCATGAAGAAATCAATGTCGTTACGAAGATCAAGATTTTGCACATCGTTCAACGCCAAATTGTTAGCAGCCACAGGCACATAGCAGGGATTGTTTCTGTAGGCACGAAGGTACTTATCTTGCCCTCGAGTTGCCGACAATGCTCCGAGCACATCAACGTAGAAGAACCATCGCGTGAGGAAGAACGCCGTATTGCTTTCATCTCTATGATAAACCATGGAAAGGGAACGATCGGAGTTGTCAGAGTCGTCGGACGATGGCGAGCTTTGATGGGCCTCTTTAGCAGCACTTCTAGCAAGGACGATTTGACTTGCACCAATGGTATGTGTTCTGTGCTTGTCAAAGTCATTCGAATTGACCACCTCGTAGCAGGACAAGAGTAATGCAGTAAGCAACGCGCCATCTGAGGTGGCTTCTTCCTCGCTTTGAAGTTGTTTGAGAAGCTCATTACACGATCTGTTCAACAATTGATCAACAAGCTCCGTCGCATCTTCTAGGTCATTGGTCAAGACACCTCTCCAGCGGGCAGCAAATGCGAGAACAGTAGTTAAAACTCCGGGATATCGCATTGCCATCTGAGGCACCAACACCTTGAACGGGTTGTCAGTATATAGGTGTGAAGGGGCAGGAACAAGTTCATTAGAAGCCACTTCAACCCAAAAGTTGAGTAATTGACGGTAACATGGGACCTTCAATAGAAGATCCGGGAGCGGTGTGAGTTGTGGTGGGATGGAATATAAGGTATGCAAGGCCTGATGGGGCTCTGAAGGAGACGTATGATTAAGAAGGGAGTGATATCGCAGTAATGGGTCTGAGTTTGGCGTGATTGGGCTCATGGGAGAAACAGACCCCATAGAAGGTGACTTGATCAATGCAGTGGGGGACCAGGCTGGGTTAGATTTGGGAGAGCCACTGTGACTGGACCGGACATAGCTTTCGTTTTGCCTTTCGAGTTCGGCAATGTCATGGGAGAAGCTATCAATTATGCCAGTTATAAGCAGCGGCGTACTGTTTGCAGGGGACCCGATATGATCGAGGTTTCTGTCCGGGGACACGGTGTAATGCAATGGGGAGAAGCGTGGCAGGTGGTTCGGGAGAGTCTTTTCCGAGTTAATAGCATAGCTTCCGCTCAGGGTTTGAGACATGTTTGTGGACATGTTCGTGGAAATGTTGGTTGAGGCGTTGGAGACAGAGGGTGCCATGTTCACAGCAGTTTCATCTTCTTCAAACTTGATCTGTCCCGAGGCAACAGATGGAGAGGCCGGCTCTTCGCTCACCAGAGCCAGCTGGTCGCTTTCGGTCTTTCCCTCGAAGGAGCTTGCAACAAATGTGATTTCTCCGGGGTTGGTGCCTCCGCCCAGATGAGAAGGCGCTTTGATCTGTGAAGCTTTCCGTCGTTCAACGTTCTTATACGGCCTTCCGCCCCACGTGAGCTTCAACGAGTAGTCACACGATACCTTTGCTTTGGCACAGGCGACACATGTTGGTCTATCTTCGGAGCACTTTATCTTGAGTTTTTTGCACCTATGGCAGCCCAAACGAGAGCGTTTGATTCTCTTTTTAGTCGTTTCGGGCATAGCTTTTGACCATACTGGTGCCTGACTGGGAATGTCCTGGAGAAAAAATACGTTCGTGGGTGGTCAAGATGAGTGGGGTCGGTGCTTCTATGTAGAGTTGATCGCAGCCGTTGCGAAGATAGCCCGAACGCAGGCATTGTTAAAATAAAAGACGAGGGAAAAGTTTGGCGCGGAAACTATCCCAAAGAGGATTGCCGCTTGGGCAGAGATAAAGATCGTAGAGTAAGCCTTGTGGCGTCGGCGAGGAGTCTGTAGTTGGTGGATGGTGATATCTTCTATTTTTGTGCAATTTGCTCAAGCCGAATCGGGAAGAGAAAACTTCTCGTTTAGAGCCTTGACTATAGGCCAGAAGATTAGATGCCCTGGCATGCTAAAGCCCCTCCTCGCGTGCACCGGGCTGGTTTCGAGGAAAGGGCCGTATATACAACGCTGTGTATCCCGGGAGACTACAGCTCCGGGTCTTCATGGCTTAAAAATCCTTGTTTTGGGGCACCAGATGGTCCAAGAGACCGCCTTCTTTCTTCTCCCTGTTTCTGTCCACATATTTTCTTCCAAAAAGGACAAAGAGGAGCTTCTCGTAAAGCCTGTAAAGGTATCCTGCTGCGATGAAAAGCCCGGAGAGAATGGTTGCAATACGAGACACAAATGCAAAGAAGGAGATACGCTTTTCACGAATCAGAAGACGAATCGGCTCGAATGAGTAGTTCATGAAGATTCCTGGAGGAATGTAGCCACTGCCCCTAGCCTTATGGTGAGTTTCAGTGAGTGAGTACTGGTATGTGTCGATCTCGAGACCAATCTTTTCGTATAACGTAGGGACAACTTTGGCAAAGTAGTTATAGACTTGATCTTTTTCTTTGGTCACCTTGCCGGTGAAATCCAATGGGTTGTCGATAAATGGGTAGAACTCGCCATAGGAAAACTCGTAGATCAAATGAGAGAGGTTGAACTTATCTTTTGGAGCTGGCTCTCTCAGCGGGTACATCGTTCCCTTGGGCACAATGAAAAACTTTCCTTTCACATGATTGACTGGAATCAGGCCAAAAATATGACAAGCAGGAGCGTCTGTGTTCACGCGCTTCCCTTTGACAGCATACTCAGCTCGAAGAGATCCTTCCATGGCTCGATCCAAGTTGGAGGTCATATGGTTGTCGTTTTCGTTGTTCATGTTGAAAAATGGTGGGATCCTGAAGTCCACTCCGATGAAGTTGAGCACCTCGTGGGCCAAGAAGTTGTCGTTAGTGATGTCCATGACATTAGCGGTTAACATGTCGCATGGCATGGCGACGACTATATCCACATTAATATCAAGATTCAGCTCGAGCTTCTTGTTGACTGAGAACTGTCTATCTATGAATCCACCAAGGAATCCTCCAACCTGGACCCAAAGAATGAAAAGGCCGAATATTATCGTGAAGACCGACGAAAGGCCACCTCGTGAGGATCTCACAGAGTGCTCCGGAGCAACTTTCGGGAAGGCATCAAAAACCTTCACTTTGTTCGAAAAGTTGTCCATGTTAATCGGTCAGTGACGGGTATCAGTAGTTGGTCCGGTGTTCGAGTACACCTGTGAGGTAAGGGTGTACGCTGCAGCGACGCACCTATTTTGCAACCAGATAAATATATGCCTATTCGAATGTATATAATGGCCTACAAGACCTTGTTGTTAACTGGACGGGCGTATCTGAAACATTCCCTGTAGAGTCTGCGTCTTCTGAATTCGATGGTAGAATCCTGTGCAGCGGGAAGTTTGTCGTACACCCAGCCCTCCTTCTCGTCGTCCTTGATCTTCAAGTGAGTCTTATCAACCCCACGTACGCGAATGAACTGCTCGGGATTTCTGTCGACCTGCCAATTACTGGCAAATCCAAAGTCAAATTTCCACTCCTTGGGTGGCAGGATTTTGCCAATAGAATCGACGCCATGCGGCTTCTTACCGGAGACCCTCACTTTGTCGGCATAGTCAAAGAGTCTCTTGGAATAGCCATAAAGCTTCCATTCGTGCTTGAGAATATTGCGGATCTGAAGCTCGTAGATCTCGGCAATACGAACTTCTGGAGCATCGTCGACTATGATGTCTGGTCTATCAAAAGTCTCGTGAGGCAAACGTTTTGGAGGCTGCTCTTCTGCGTCTTCGTCCTCGGTTTCTTCTCCATCGTCCTCCACAACTGGTGGTGGCTGTCTCTTTTTCTTGAGCGCCTGAATATACTTCTTGGCATTTGGATGGCAGACAATCATGCCGATCCAGCCGGCTTGAATGAATATGATCCTCCATGGAATCCATCTTCCAACAAAGAGTACCACAGAAGTCACGAACGTCAAGATGTAGAAGATGAAGGTAGTAAGTCTCTCATTCTTAAAGCCGACGATATCAGTGGCGACTTTCTCGGCGTGGTCGATGCCATTGAGCAAGTCAGTCGTCAAATTTTGAAGATCTCTCATGTTCATGAACGTCGATACCTGCGATTTCACAAACTTTGATTGGTTTTCAGAGGAGACCGAAGCTGCCGCATTGAGGCCCTTTTGGGCAAACGCCGATGCATTTGTGGCACCTGTAGCGGTCGTAGCGGTCGTAGCGGTCGTCGCTCTTGAGTACTCGGACGAAAAAGTAGCAGTAGACATGTCATCTGAGAACTCCTCTGACCGATCATTCAACAAATCCATAACAACACTCTCGTCTTCAGACTGATTGAAGAACTCAAGAAGCGATTGACCCCTCTTCTTCGTCTTGACAAGCTCCGGGATGTTCATGGGATGGCGGTGGAGATATGCTGGGACTATGACGCCGAATAACAACACAAGCAAAGGAAGCGCCACCACCAAGTGGGGCCACATGCAAATAGCAGTGTAGAGGACCAAGACAGAGAGCGTCTTTGTTGGTTGCTTCCAGGTGATTACGTGTATCACACCATACTGGAGCTTGAAGAACGATCCCATCTTCGAACTCAACCTCTTCATGTTTGAACCAAGTTTCCGTATCGATAACGGCGCCTTATTTTTCCTTGATGGGTCCTTGATTCTAGTATTGATCTCATGGTAGTCAGGATTATCTTGAGGAACGGTGTGGCTTATGAGTCTTTCCATAAACCGATCCATGAAATGCGTTGGTTCCTTTGCAGCCTGGTGTTCCTCGGCCGACAGGGCCATTTCCCTCACTGCTTCGAGCTCCTCTTCGGTATACTCGAAACTGCCGTCTTTTGCTCGAACCCCACCGTCTGCTGTCTTTTCAACATGCTCTAGGCCCATTCCTAAGATGGTGGCAGCAGTGCCCGCAGCTATGCCTCGGTTCTTTCCAGCGTGTGCTTCTGCCATATCACTCGTGTAATTGTATAACGAATTGAGCACTCTGCTTCTACGACTCCCTTTTGCAGGTGGGCTGGTCGACATGAAAATAGCTGGTGGGTGTGGTGCTGTCAATTGAAAAGAAAGTAGCGTAGAGGGTCTCTCGCAATGTATGTCATGTGACAGTGTGGGGAGTGGACTAGGCTAGTACAAAGGCGGTGCATGAGATCTGGGTGCGAAATGCTGTCGAGAAGGTGTGAATGGTGTGATCAGCTAGCGATAGCCGAAATGCTTGAATTTATTCTAGAAAGGGGTCGGTAAGGAGCTCCGATGCCGCAGGGCGTTCCAGTGGGTTCCAAGTAAACATGCGTGACATAAATTTAGAAAACTGCGCCGCCTCCGCCTCTCCCGAATTGTGGAGACGGAGACTAACAGACAAGGATCTCAGATTGAGCTTCACTGATTTCTTAACATGTCCGTTGCCATTACTCTCTTTACCATTTGAAATAAGCAGCTGGTTGATGAATTGAAGATTCACCTTGCCCTCAGCATTGAAGAGTGAGTATAGTAGGGTCCTCTTTATCTTCTTTTCATCAATTGGTGCCTTAACATCACTTCCGTATACCGAGGACTCGGCAACAACAGGATCACGGATCTTACTTGAGCTAACCCGCGCCATCCTCAAAAGCTTCTTCTTTTCATTTACGATGTGAGATGCGGGTGGAGCACCGAACAATTCAAGAATGAGGGCTATTTGCTCTACCTCGCTTTTTCCTGGAAGAATTGGAGCACCGGTAAATATCTCCGCTAAAACACAGCCAAGTGACCATATGTCAATTTTGCTGCTGTATTTCGATCCCAAAATCACCTCCGGGGCACGATAAAATCGAGATTGAATGTAAGAATACGAGGTGTCGTTTTCGAAACACGAAGAGCCGAAGTCAATCAACTTCACAGTAAATTCCGTCGGAAGGCTACCATCATGTGGATCGTAGTCCAGCGGAAGTTTGATCATGATGTTCTCCGGCTTAACATCGCAATGAATCACCTTTTGTTCATGGACGAAGTTCAACCCTCTGAGTATATCAATTGCAAACTTCTTCAACAAATCCAATGTCAAGCCCCTGAATGACATGAGCTCCAATAATGTGAATAGGTTAAGTGAGAGGACCTCCGTCGCGATGCACATGTGCCCCCTGAAATGAAAATGGTCGTAATAACTCATGATGTGATCGTTCATAACATCTTTGGATGACTGGCTTAACTGCTTAAGCATTTTGATCTCGCTAACCGCCTGCAAAGACCAGTTGAGGTCATTTCTGATGATTTTGATGGCAACCTTGCGCTGCTTCTCTGGGGTGGAGTACTTGTGATCAACACAAAGAACCACGTTTCCAAAAGAGCCAGTCCCAAGTACACGCTTTATCTCGTATCGGTATTCAATTTGATCACCAAGCGAGATGATGTAGTTTCCATTTTTATCATCAAACCCAAAGTTATTTTTGTAGTCTCCCGAGTCAAAGGCATGCACGTTGATGTTCTTCACCCTAGAGTTTGCCAAATAGAAGACCTCTTGCTTTCTCATGATCTCGCCTCGCTCATACACGCTGGCATGTTGTCCTTCTGGGTGTAAATGTAGTTGGTGGGATAAAATAGGTGCATTCGCCTCTAGTGATGGATCAGAAGTACGCGGGTCTTCAAAAAGGGTTTCATCAGCATTGTGCAAAATTGAGTACATCTCCGTAAGAGAAGAAACTTTGGCTGGCCGTGAAGTTTGCGATTGAGTTGTGACTTCCTGGCGCAATGCTGAGGAAAGCAGTCTAAAACCTATCAGTCTAGGAAAGCTCTTGTGGGTAAGGTCGTCTGCTTTTACTGATTCACCACAGAGATGCAGATAGACGTCATTGGAGGATGCAGAGTGTGACAATTTCTTTGGTGATGATGCTTTGAGATTTGTTGATTTTGATGCTTTGGTGTCCCGGGCCCTCAGATCTGATTTTCTCATGGGGGCCACGTTATTTGATGACGATGAATGTGTGCATGGTCTCTTGTTATAGAGTTCGGGGTGTGAAACAGCCCTATCTTGTGGCAGTGGGTGTAAGCTCGGAGGAACTGGCAGTTTGGTTGCATGCTGTTTTTTCCTTGAGGATGTAGTTTCCCTCATGAACAGAAACTGAACATCTTTTCCGGAGGGCTTTCTAGAGGTTTTGTCTGGATCATTGGCGGTTGATGTTTGTCTTGAGTGCTTTCTCTCAGGTGAGACTTCATGTGCTGCTTCATTGAGGTTTCTTGAGGTCGAAACCGATCTAGACTGAGCCCTTCTCGCTGTAGAAAGTACGGGTGCTTTACTGGGCGTTGTGGTACTCTGACCATGGTAATTTCTTGGATATAGGCTTGCTGGGTAAGACTTCTTGGGTGATTTTGGAGCTTTCGAAGATGTGTTCTGGTTTTGCGTTATATCAATATTCGCTAGTCTCGAATTGAGAGACGGCGATAGTTTGGACATGACAATAGGATGAGTCCGGTGTATGTAGCTTGATACCAAGTTTTCTGATGCTAATTTGATCTCTTTTGGTTAATGGCTGAGGCGTGGGACTGTATGAGAACTGCCAATTTGTAAACAGAGACACTGAGGTCTGGAGCTAGTGAAAAATCGAGTCTAGATTCTAAGAATTTCAAGGTCGAAATTTATAGCACTAAATTTGGGAAACAATAAAAATTATGAATCTCCATTGACTTTTCACCAATTTCCACTTTTTGATGCTTTTTTGTGTCGCCCACTTTGGGTGTCACCTTATGCCTTAGAGCGGGGCCTGTATGAACTGGTCACTAGTAAAATAGATAACCCAAACCACATGGAAAGATGACAGCCACTGGCAAATCCATAATAACGTCCGCTGAATCATACACAAACAAAGACCTCCTATTACTCTCGCAACTCCTTCACACTCAGGGTCTCATCCAGCCAGATTCAGTGAGGGAGAGTGAGGACTTGGAGAGCATTGGGAGCGATTGGTTCCATCATGACAGCACTCAATTGCTGAGAAGAACGCATGAAAACAGCCTTACTAAACCTCCTACGGGGGAGCAGATTCTTGCTTTGTATGAAAATATGTTGGAGGAGAACCCGGATTGCAAAACCACCACCGATCTAGCGAACAAGTTCTACTTTGCGAGAGTCCACGAGCTTGAGCACAGGATCCAAAAGGACAAGGAGGACTTCAAGGCTCTTCTTGGTGAATCGTGATATCTAAAAGATGGTTTTCGGACTGGCGGATGTGACGCTCGTCTAATGGAACAAAGAGATGGAATTGGCATCTGGTGATTGGCCAAAATTCAATAAAGGCCGTTGCCATACTCGAAGGGCATTGTGAGTTCTACTCACTGTGTCTTCATTCATTGGGTCTTCAAAATTGTGCTTACGGTTGATCTTTTCGTGCAGCTCTGCGTAGCAGTACGGCGGGTGCATCGGTACCATTAAGGATCTAGCATTTCGATAATTTGCTATGGAGCAATTACTTCGGTAACCACAAAGAGAAAGATGGGGTACCTCAACCTTGAAGGGATATGTTTGTGGCTTAGCACCCACGTCCTCCAGCCCTACAACCTCAGTGTTTCAGTGAGGCTGGTACATAGTCGCTTGGACGCCCTAGTATATGAAATTTGAGATCTCCCCACTTTGATTTTGAATAACTCTAGTCAAGCAGGTGACTGCATTTATTGTCACTTTCTCAATAAAAAAAAAAAATAAAACGGCGATTCTAAGTGGGTGTCTGGTTCGTCCAATACAATCCACAGTGTTGCTGCGCCGTTTTCTACTTGGCGCGGCTAGGACACCTAGTACCTCAGGGTCCCTCTCTACCACGACCATCTGGCCACATCCTCTTAATTATAGTTTTCAATGAATCTAAACAGTCACGATCGGTTTATCCAATTCTACCTCTTTTTTAAAAAATTATGCACATTTGACCGAACTAGACCGGCAGATTCGCAGCCAGCTTCCTCGGATCAAAAAAGCTCCCCACATTTGAACGCTCAGGCGCCAAGATGCAGTCAAGAGATTATCTACCTCCAGGATACCGAAATGTTTTCTCAGCTACTCCCATCTTCTATTTATTACACCAGGCCTTAAAGTCAAGCTATGCCACCACCTTCTAAGACGGTGCAGCGAGACTCGTTCGCCTTGGCGGTGTTTAACGCCTATAAGTCGAATAGGTCTCTCTTATTGAATGCCTCCTATATCCTTTTGATCACGGCGGCCTTCTCTGGTGCAACCAATGCCTCTTCTGGCAGTCGGAAGAAGAAGGAACCCGCTGCGGATGAGTTGGACCCGGAAAAGCAGAAGATCAAGCCCAAGCTCACTAGAGAGTCGCTCCGGAAGCTCCTCAAGTCCGCCATCCCTTCCTATGTGAACCCGGTGGTGGGATACTTTGTGGGCCACTTGGTGCTTTTGGTCTGCCGTGCCATTTTGACCATCAAGGTGGCAAACTTGGACGGTTTGCTTGTGGGTGCATTGGTCACTAAGAGACTCAAGCGTTTCGGAAAGCTTTTGGCGTTCTGGATGTTCCTTGGTTTCCCTGCCTCTTTCGTCAATGCCTTGCTCAACTGGACCAAGGACAAGATGCGTCAGCACTTGCGTATCAACTTGAACAACGGTATCATTGAGGACTACCTCCCCGACAACTTGGACCCCAACTACTACGCCTTGATTCAGTTGTCTGACAGCAAGATCAAGGACCCCGACCAGAGACTTTCTACCGATGTCTCCAGATTGGCTTCCGCCATGGCAAGTCTTCCCGGCCAGCTTCTCAAGCCTACTTTGGACATGCTTCTTTGTGCCAAGGAACTCTCCAGAAGTGGTGTTGGCAGTGGTGAGGGCACCCTTGCCCTTGGTATGTTGGCTCACTTCTCCACCATCGTCTTGAGATTCTTTTCGCCACCATTCGCCAAGTTGGCGTCCGAGAAGGCTAACTTGGAGGGACAGCTCCGTTCTGCTCACTCCAAGATTGTTTCCAACAATGAAGAGATTGCCTTCTTGCGTGGTCACGACCGTGAGCTTGACTACATCGACCTCTGCTACTACCAGCTTGAACGTTTCTTGAAGATGGAGTACTGGAAGCGTGCTATTCATGAAATCGCTCAAACATTCATCGTCAAGTACTTCTGGGGTGCCGCCGGTTTGGTCTTGTGTTCTGCTCCTGTCTTCATCAACAAGTACTTGGGCAACGACCCTGACCCCAATGCTGCTGGTGACTTCATCACAAATAGAAGATTGTTGATGAGTGCATCAGATTCCTTGGATAGATTGATTTACTCTAGAAGATTCTTGCTCCAATTCGTTGGTCACGCAACCAGAGTCACCTTCCTTCAAGATGCCTTGAATGCCATCAAGGACAGGAAGAAGTCTACCCCACAAGAAGATGAGAAGAATGTCAATTTCGGTGATGAGATCACATTTGCTGACGTCAGACTTGTCACTCCAGCTGATGTGACGTTGGTCGAAAAGCTTAACTTCAGCATCAAACCAGGCCAGCATTTGTTGATTGCCGGTCCTAATGGATGTGGTAAATCTTCCATGTTTAGAATGTTGGGAGGCTTGTGGCCTTGCAAGTACGGTAAGATCACCATCCCAACCAGTGACAACATGTTTTACTTGCCTCAAAGAGCTTATCTCTGCAGAGGTTCTTTGAGAGAACAAATCATATACCCACACACGCAAGAGCAGTTCAAGAAAAACAAGCATGGAAAGACCGAAAAGGACCTTGAGGAAATTCTCAAAATTTTGGACTTGAGCGACATTTTGCCCGAGAACAAGGACTGGGATATTGTTAAGAACTGGAACGAAGAATTGTCCACCGGTGCTCAGCAGCGTTTGGCTATGGCTAGACTCTACTATCACCAGCCAAAATTCGCCGTTCTTGACGAATGTACATCAGCTGTGTCCCCAACAATGGAACAATTCATGTACAAGCATGCTCAGGAGATCGGGATCTCTTTGCTTTCCGTTGCCCACAGACCCGCTTTGTGGCATTTCCACAACCGTTTACTTAAGTTCGATGGTAAGGGCAACTACTACTTCGGTGTTTTGGACGCTGAGCGTCGTTTGAAATTCGAAGAAGAAAGGTTGAAACTCGAGAAGAACCTCAGAGATGTGCCAACCTTGAGAGACAGACTTCAAGAGCTCAAGACCGTCTCCGAGTCTCAGCATATCAGATACGACAACTCTCATCGTGACTTGGTTGAACTTGGCAGGAAAGAAGCTACTCAAGAAACCAAGCCTGCGCAGCCAAAGGAAGAGCCTAAGGAGGAATCCAAGGAGGAGCCAAAAGAGGAAGCTAAGGAAGAAGCTAAGGAGGAACCTAAGGAAGATGAGTCCAAGACCCAGCCAAAGAAAGTCGACGAGAAGAAGAAGAAGAAGAAGTCTGGGAAGAAATAATGATTTTAGTAAGACTTGATGATCAACCGTATATACCAGTCCAATGTAGATATTCAGTGCGGGTCTTCGCGTATGTGAAAAACTACTCTTACCCCGGATGCTACGATATGTGGGGTGGGTTTGGCCCCAACAGACGCCTCGTCAGTTTCTGACTCTTAAGGAAGGAAAGCCACCTGCTATACTTTTCGCATCTATAGCAAACCCTGTGCCTCAGTATTCTGGAACAAGGCATAATGTTGGTAACTGGGCGCTCGAGGAAATAATAAAGAAGAGAACGGATATACCCCCACTTAAGTCATCGCTGAAATACCGAGGGTTTCATGCTTCCGAATGTCCGTCTCTTAATTGTGATTTCATCAAGTCTACTCTGTCTTTCATGAACCTCCAAGGAAGACCCATTGGCAAGGCTTGGAACCAGTTCCAGAAGTCATATCCTGGACATTCGACTGCCTTGGTCATTCTCCATGATGAGATTGAAATTGCTCCTGGGAAAGTCCAGGTAAGAAGGCAAAACACCAGTGCCAGAGGACACAATGGACTCAGATCCATAGACAAGACTGTGGGTCCAGGCTATACAAAGATTGGCATTGGTGTGGGCAAATCTGACACTCTCCCAGTTGATAAGCATGTCTTATCCAAGTTCACACCTGAAGAACTCGAGCTTCTTACGGAAAAGAGCCTTCCCCAGGTGGATAGCATCATCAGCGACATGCTTCAAGGAAAGTACATCTACGAGAAGCAGTGAAATGAGACACATGGGGAAAGGATGACACACGCAAATCCCGAGGCTAAATCCAAAATTCTAGAATACCTCATTTCTGGAAAATCATATACAGATCATTCCTTTGCATACCCAGACCTGGTGTCGCAGATTCGGAGTCCTTTACGCAAGCGCGACGATAACTAAGAAGCACGCAATCCCTCCTACTCCATGGATTTTACTCTAAATCTCACAGCAGACCGAGCTGTCGTGCGAGAGTCTCTTAAAGGTATGTTAAATGAGTTGGTGATTACAGAAATCAAACTAACTTTAGGTGTGCTATGGTGTATCTTCTTTCACAGGCTCTTTGGCCCCATTGCCCCCAGCTCGCATGAGTTCATGGGGATCCCATACCCCGTGGCCAACAATCTACCGGACATTGACTCATTATTTGACCAAAAGATTGACCAGCTTATAAAGAAGGATTTTGGCTCGGCCGACTCGCTATCGCAGCCAAAGGTGGGTCAGCTTCTAGTACTGTTCCACAAGACATCCAAGATCAAGAAGAAGTCGCTGTGGTTCGGCCACGTCAAGGACGACCTTCTGCAAGATCCCTCTGTGTGGGAGCTGTGGAGGATTAATGTCAACTGCCGCCCGGTTCCACCAGAGAAACTACCGGCTGACACCGCCCTGATGCACGACAAGGGGGTGCAACTGTCCCGTCAAAGTTTCGAGGAGACTCTCATGACCATATATGAGAAGATAGACAGCAAAAAAGATCACATTCCTCCTATTACAACGCTTGATGTTTCACCGTTTCCATACGAGATTGAAGTTGACCCCAAATCTCCTAAGAAGCCTCCTCCACCTCCAGACGACGAGTCCTGGGGCAACTACATCAAGAAGATGCTAGACTAGCGCTACCCTTCGCTCTATTTGTAAATAGAATATTTAATTTGCATCTACAAGTTGGCGCTATACATGCCTTCCTCGCCACGAATAAGGATACACTCTTCTTGGTGAACCACCTTCTCGAGCAAGCCCAATGCTTCAGCAGTGTCTAATGCTTCCTGATCATAGCTTCCTGGCTGGAACCATAAACCTTTAATAAGTGACTTGTACTCTGGAACCTCAGCAATATCCTTGAGGGTCTGTACTGTAATGTGGGGTGGAGTCAAGAATGAAACACTAAGACCATCAGCACTTGAAAGCTTATATTGATCAATGTCTTTACCAGCACTGAGTGACTTCAAGACTTCGGGAATTGACTTGACAACGGGCTGGCCGAGGATCTCACTCTCCTTTGGATTGATAGGAATCACTGATAAACCGTGGCTCACATACCACAGTAAAATCTTGAAGCCGAATTTGGAAGGGTTGTTAGAAGCTCCAGCAACAACGTACTGTCTGGAGGCTCCAAAAAAGCTTTTGATCTTAGGTTTCATAGACATTTCGGAAAAAAGAGTGTGGCTGTTGAAAGTATCAACTCTTTTCACAAGAATCCGGGGCAAGGGATCCTGCCTGGGGTACGGGTGCAGCAATGATTGCAAATGATACAAGCAAAGGAAGCCGGAATTACATACTAATTTTCATAAAAATGAATGAAATGATGAAGAATCGGGAGTTTTAAGCTATTTTTTCATATATCTTCAGAATTTGTGAGTTCTGTGTATCAGGTATGTGCGTCCTAGCTATTATGTAAGTTTTGCAACCAATGGCATGGTATTGACAAAATCTGAGTGAACTTGCAAATGAGACAAACATAGACAAAAATATACTTGTGGGTAAGTGATGAAATAGCTGCTTTCATTATTTTGCATTTATTTGGATTATAAATTCTAGCATAGCATAAGGCCGATTGAAACATCGAGGGACTAAATAACCGGTAATCGTCATAAATCAGATTCTACCATACACATCAAAAATGTATTCCACTTCTTCCCATCCCAGACGTGACTATTAAAAGCAATCAATATGACTAGTTGACCCTACAACTTCAGAGAACGTTGGTGGTAACCAAGGCTGGTTCGGGCTTGCATACGGTGCATCACCTACACTGTCGCATCGATATCAGATCTACCATTTACAACGCTTCTCAAGGTCAGAATACATGGCTCGAGAAAAAAGGACCAAACCTTGCAGCAACTGCAAGCGGTCAAAAGTGAAATGCGAGTACACAGAGTCACTTCCTTGTACGCGTTGCATAAAGAATGGTCTCGCTAGTACTTGTCAGATAGTGCCAAAACTACCCTCGTTAAAACTACCGCAGGTCGGTCCTCAAAGTCTTCCGGATTTTCATATGGTCCCTCAGGTCCCACCTCTACCGCATCATGGGAAGCACTTTTCTTCACAGCCGCCGCCACTGATACCCCAGGCGGGCATTTACCAACTGCCGATTCCCAGTCAACCTAAACCACCAATGCATTCAAATCCTCCTCCACCACCAATATCGACCCTACTGCCGCATTTGAACAAAAAGCCAACAGGTGATCTAGACCTGCAATGGAAGTCGCATATGGAGAACAAGCTTAACTCATTCGAGTCGAAATTCGATAGCTTAGTCGAGGCTCTCAGAAGTAATCAGCGATATAATGGGCCCGAACTAGAGGCACCTCCGAAGTTTCCAGCTATCAAGGACTCTTCACTGGGTGGACACAGTTACTCAAACAGCATAGCATCTACACCCGATTCTTCAGAGTCAGAGAGAAGTCTGGAAGGAAAGCGTCCAGCCCACCAAGACTACTTTTTACTCAAAAGAAGACGCATGGAGCAAGAGGATTTTCGTGACTCTGTCATTACACTTCAAGAAGCAAAGCTTTTGTTTCGGTTTTTTGATACCAATATCTCCCAGCAGTTGTTTGGATTCGAAATCGACAAGTTACAAGTCAGTCAGATATGGGTAACATCACCGTTACTCATTTGTGCCGTCTGCTGCATAGCAGCAATGCATTATCCTGACCCCGAAATATCATCCAAACAAGCTGCATTGCAGCAGCACTTACATAAGCTTTGCTCGGGTATACTCTTCCAGCCAAAGCCCAAATCCGACACTGAAGGGTTTAACATTATTTTAGCCCTTATTCTTTGCAGTTTCTGGTTATCAGACTCTCAAAGATTTACTGGCTTGGCTCTTCAGCTAGCAAAAGAATTTGGTCTTAACAGGCCCGTTTCTGAAACCGATGATCAAAGCACTCTCAATCCAAAAGATCGGTTGAAGTTGTGGTACCTTCTTTACGTTCTTGATGGCCAGCAGTGTATGTCGCTCAATAGGCAGTCTCTCTTTGATTCTGATGACTATTCGATTACACATAGCCGAAAGTTACTTCTCAGGGAGAAGAAACCTCTCGAGATCACTGAACATGCTGAGACTGATGATTCAAAGAACAAAGCAGTTGTTCCATCTCATAATAGTGCCGCCAAAGCCGAAGACAATACTTCAAACATTTCTCACTTGACTGACTTGCGCTTGGTTTCTCAAGTTGAGTACAACGTCGCTATAAGGGAAGCATTCAAGGGTAACGCATGGGACCTCATCGCACCAAGTGCTTTCGGCATACCATCCAAATCCAATTTGGAGCTCGACAAATGGATGGTCTCGTGGACTGTTCTACTTGCACCCGTCAACAATGGTGCGGTGTGGCTGTCAAAGTCGACACTTATCTACTACAATTTTGCAAAGATGCATATCAATTGTTCTGCTTTAAGAGAACTTCAGGTTGAGACTGGTCTGGAGAGTGTCATATTCCCAAAGTGGGAGCGGTACCATCAATTGAGGCAAAAAGCTGATCTTGTGACAGACCAAGCCCACAAACAAGAAGTGTCTGATTCAGACGACAGTGACGACGAGGATGAGCTCATAAGTAATAGAGAGCTCATTACTCATGATCAGACTCTTCTTAGTCTCAATATAGCCATGAATGCTGCTCAGACTGTTCTCAACCTAGTCTTGAGTGACAAAGACATCCTCAATAACTTGAGGTATGTACCCTTGCATATCCATATCATGCTTTACTATGCTGCTTTATTGCTTGTGAACCCTCCTCCCACTGACGGAAGAAAAGTGGAACATATAAAGCAAGACTCATACTTCATTAAGATTATCGAGAGTTTGAGGACAGCCAAATTGCTACAGAAGAAAATATATATGAACTTGCCGACTGACAAAACCTTCGGTAACCGGTTCATAGAGAGTCTTGACGATGTCATAATTGATAGAAGTCGGCGCTTGAAAGTGGAGCTTGAAGAGTCTGAGCTTCCTTCATCGACCAAATCTGAACTTTCAGAGCAGATGTCAAGCTTGCAATTCTTCGATGATCGGCTTGAAGTATTGAATGGCTCCAAGAGTAGCAGCAGAGAATCTTCTCCCAGAGCGGCTGGTATCGCAGCGTGGCCGGGCTCGCATCATGGTCACCCATAATATATTCGCATTGTGCTTTTTGCACCCACATCAACACTTTCTTGTAGCACTTCTTTTTCCAAAATGACTCTTCCCAACCACTCTGCTCGAGTTAGTGACTTTCAATTAAGACGCAGACAGTACCATTGCCCACATACTGAGCCAGATACCGAGTATGAAGCCTTGGTTGCAAAATTAGAGAAAGTCGATCGTATCAATCAACAATTGACTTATGCTTGCAAGTCTTTGCGTCGGAAAGTGTCTCGATGCCTCAGACACAGTGTACTGGTCGGTGGAATCATGCAAATACTTCTGTCTAAGCACATGGGTCAAAAATTCCCCAACGAGCCTATCACAAAGACTATCGAGGAAGAGTATGTACAAGGTTACAACTACGCCATCTCAAGAATAGTCTCAGAAAGCACTTTCATCCTCAAAGACTTCAAGAAGGAGGCAAATAAAAGCTGTGGGATTCTCCGTGGTTGGATCAGACATGTGAAGCTCGTCGTTTTGAAATGTGACATGTACACAAGGGTAGCTTCTGGGTGTCCAGCTTGTTCGAGACTCATGGAAAGGAGTGACTCTCCAAACATGGGAAGCATCCGCTCGCAAGCCTTGTCCAAATCCGAGAGTTTGAAAATGCACCTCATCAAGGAGTTGCCGATCTTCTTGAATGCTTGTGAGAGGGGTCTTCACATGGTGTGCTCCATGATGGCTTCGATTCAGATGGAGATCTCGCTTCATTTCGTCATTGAGCTCGAAGGTTTCTTGGTGTCGTGGGAAAATGGCGAGGGTGACGTCTTCAGAAATCTCATGGAGAATATCGATCGCAAAAAATAATATTTTATTTAATAGGTATATTTGAAAGCAATGTAACGACTTAATTATCTGTATTTGCTCATGAAGGAATATATAATATTAGCGATAATATCCTGTTCTCAGTTTGTATTGACCGACACATTTGCCACAGCAAAACTCTCGTTTGAAGGGTACATTAGTGTTTTGTAGGAAATCCCACCACTCGTACACCTCTGCGTATGGTTCCACTATGACAGTTTCACATTCACTGCAAGTATCCTCAAACATGCCCTTTGCGATTGCCTTTGCTATTAAGTGATGTACGACACGAGGGGTATGGCGCTTCCAGGAATGCGTCTCGCTGTACGTCACGTCATATTTAGCAATGGTATGCAAACATAAGGCCTTCAAAGTGGGGACGTTTGATTTCTCAAAGTGTTCAATGATTTGGCTGACAAACTTCGGAGAGGGGACCTCGGACTCCGGTATCTGAATGGCATCAACAGGAATGGAAATGAATGGATTGGGTCCCGCTCTAAATGTGCTAAGCTTTGGGAGGTCAAGAATTTGAACTGGTAAGTAGCGTAGATGGTTTGTTGCAATGTTGAGATCACACAAGTTCGTGAGATGCTTTATGCTGGCAGGAATAGACCGAAGGAGATTTTGGCGCAAACTCAAGACATTGAGCTTAGTGTAAGCAAACAAAGCTGGATTAAGAGACCGTAGCCGATTGTTTGTCAAGTACAACTGGTACAAGTCTTTGGTTGGGTCTTGCGAAAAGATGACTAAATTATTCAAGTCTCGAATCTCTTCTGGCACCTCTGTGAGACCCATTCCTTCCAAACTAACCGAGGCAGTTACGTCTTCAAATGCCTGCAAAAGCTTATTTCTTGCCAAAGCGTACAGCGAGGCGGAGACCGCTGGATCAGGCTCGCTCGCATAATCCGTGTCAGTCGAAGGACATGCAATGTAGCTGGAGGTCTTGAAACGATTGAAGGGACCGATGCCAAAATCTGGTTCCGAGCTTCTGTGATCAATGACTCTGGGTTTATGCTTTTGGACCGGAGAGGTGTTCAAACTTGCCAAACCAGGATTGATATTCACCGGAGAATCCGGAACCGTTTGAGTAGTGGTGGAAATGTCGAATTCCAACATTTGGGGAAGCACAGGGGGACTGCTAGGAAATTCCTTAGCCACGTGCTGTGGATAATTATGCTGCTTGTCATGAAGTGAGTCTGGATCGGTGTCATGGGCCTCGAACTCGTCACTTGAAGGATCATTGAAGACATCATAATCTCTTCTCTTGATATCATCTTTTTCGTTGAAGCTCTCTCCCATTTTCCTTTTCAATTGGGGCATCACAAGGGGTGCTGCTCGTCTGAGAGGACCCTTTTGACGATCTTGTCCTCTCGTGTGATAGCTACTCCTAGCGTTTTCATCTATGACGTGCTTTTCCCGGGGATCGGTATTCAAGGCAGATTTCTCATCAAACGAGCTCGTAGAAAAGGCGAATGGAAGAAGGGGGTTATTTTTTTCCATCTTGCAAAATAACTCCCCAGCGATTGTGGGATATATCGCCAAAAGAAGGGTAGAAGTGTACGCCCGATATGCGGGTACTATCGCACTCGGTCTCGCGTCTGAGATCGCGATTCTTGTTAACCCTATACACATTATTTCTAAGCGAGGTACGGAACCTGAAACTGCGAAGAGATGAATTTGATTAAGTTTCAAAAAAGTCAAAAATTTGCAGACTTTGAATTGAAAATGTCTAGTTGGCACCTTCACTGTGATTTTTTCGTGTTAGACATTTTTCGTAAGTGAGGGCATGACCGCTTGTAGTAGTCGCATGAGCTTGCCTCGGGGAGTAGGAATCACGCAGATATTCATAAGCTCGAGACTGCCGGCTGGGGTCGGATGCATAAAGAAATAAAAAATTTTTCCGAGTCGTCTCTTGAACTTGACGAGCTTTGGGGGCGAGAAGATCGGGTCCATTGTGCTTGTGAGATTCTGATTTACCGAAGATCTGTTTTTCATTATCTTTGATGGAAACTTCTTCTGCTATTGTCACGAATAGCCGAAGTTCCAGACAATCATCTTTTGATTGACCGAAAAGCTTTCAAGATACGAAGTATATCTCAACGTGGGTACCAATAAATAATATCATGGAAGGTTTTCGCCAAAAGTCAATTCTTATAGGTATTCCAAATTAATTTGGACGAACCTCAATTGTGAACTCAGAAAAGGGAAAATTCGAAACAGGGAAAATGACCACTGACAGATGCTCGACCTTTCCTCCCGCGGAGATGATCCCGCTAGATCAGCGACATATCCCGGGAACATTGTGTGTACCTGTTCGACAACTGTCAGACATGCTGGAGCATGCGGCAGGCCGCATGAAGAAGAATAAATTATTCAATAGCAGCGAGTATCGGGGGATGCTCCGCCCTTTTGAATCTTTCTTTTCCTTGCAAAATCGTGCATCTCTATAATATGGACCAACTTGAAAGATCTTATTTCGGATCTTACAACCATCTTTTTGTTCTCCCTATGAGCTTCCAATTCGGATATGATGTCTGGAAGTTGGCAGACTCGAAATGGGATTGTGGCCGCCAAATACCGTCATTTTCAGAATTGATTACCAATTGTAAGTTACCAGTCGAGCTTTATCTCAAGGAAGTAACAAGCGGCAAACAAAGATCTAAAGACCATCATCTTCGCCTGTCACCAGTGGTGGCATATGAGAGCCCCCCTTTGACAGATCCAAATCCTGGAGGACACTCTAGCGAGTCCTCAGTACCAGCCTCCCCCTTGGCTCACTTGGTCTCCACCTCAGAATTACTGCAAGCCGATAACCAGGAGAATGATCAGGAATCACCAAAAACAAATCCTATTCATGTGGTTACTCCTCAATCTTTGTCACCAGGCTCTGAGAGTGATAAAGGCTACCATGGCGATTCTGCATCCTCTCAAAAGAGAAAAAGGGAGGCAAGAATTGACAAAAAGTTGAGAAAGAAACGCAAGCGTAGCCTGAAAGGTGCTTTGATGAGTCATGAAAAGGTTCTTTTTTCTTGTTCGCCTAGACCAGCAACGAAGCATTCGTCGGAAGGCGTCATTTATCCACAGAATCTTCTCAACAAGGATCTATGTTTAAAGAAAAATACTCAGTGCAGCCAGTGTGGTTCAAGGAAAACACCTGAGTGGAGATCTGGGCCCACAGGAAGTCGTACCCTCTGTAATGCTTGTGGTCTTTTTTTTGCAAAGTTGACCAAAAAATTGGGACATGAAGAGGCGTCCGAATACTTCGTCAATTTGAAAAAAAAGCGGGGATGTATTCGACCGCCGCATCGGTTCTCTCAATCAATGAAGAGAAATATGAAAAAAATGCCTGTTAGTTATTCGCTTCTTTCTGTTGTTTTGTTTCGGGATCGATCGTTGTATAATAATGCATAGCAAGTTCGTCTAGCCATTTTTCTTCAATGATCATGCAATTCCGCATGTATTCTTTAGATGTGAGAACCAATTCATGATATAACACAAGTTTTGGGGGAGGCTTCAACGGGTATAGGCTTGATGACGGATGGATGAACACCGGTAACTTTCTTTTCAATTGAACAAAGCTGGACCCAAGTTTTGAGAGCCTGGCCACATTTGGAAAAAAGCCTGCTACCAAGGACTTTTGAATCCTTGGAAGTCGGGTGTCATGAGACCTGTCCAGCTCTTCTATAGATTTTTGCACGTCAATGCCGACTCGCTTGCAGAGCCCTTCTAGCTGAGAACGAACCTCTTTTGCTCTTTTCAATGTACGGTATTGAAGGAAGTTTTCTTCTGCCCAAATATTAGAGAAGCCAGTGTCTTCCCACTCATTCCAGATGTTAAGAAGAGTAAGATGATCGCCAACTTCATGTTGAAACGCTTCCTTCTTTTTATCGGCCTGTTCCCTCTTGTCTTTCGGACGGAAGAAGAGAGAAGATGATTCAGATAGTAATGCCATTATGGAAAGAATGTCTTGGGTAACACCATAGTCAGCACTTTTCAAAAGAGTTTTGCAAAACATGGGGTCCATTGGAAACTCAGCCATCTTTCGACCAGTATCCGTTATTTGACCTCTCAGGTTGAGGGCACCAAGTGCGTATAGAAGTTCGAAGGATTTAATGAGTGTTTGCGAAGAAGGGGGATCCATAAAATCGAAGTGGATCAAGTCAGTAATTCCCATTGACAAAAGCATGAGAATAATCAGGCTCAAGTTCGTTCGTTGAATTTCAGGAGTTGGGTTGGCTTGTAACTCATTGTAAAATGACCATTTCGTGAAGAGGCGGTAGCACTTTCCTGGACCAACTCTTCCTGCTCTACCTGCTCTCTGATCCGCAGACGCTCTTGAGCAGGGAACAACCACAAGACTTTCCATTCCTGTTCTAGGATTGAACACATTTTCTTTCACATATCCCGGGTCAATAACGTACTTGATACCATCAATAGTGATCGATGTCTCCGCAATGTTCGTTGCGAGCACCACTTTCCGAGCATCTGGGGGAGTTGGTTCAAAAATACGCTGCTGCTGTTTTGGAGGAAGATTGGCATAGATAGGAGCAATTATTAGTTTCTTTATCAGGGAGCCAAGTTTATCGCACGCATCCACCAATGTCTCATTCATCGTTTCTATCTCATCTTGACCTGTCAAGAATACGAGAATATCCCCAGAACTTTCCGAAGTAGTATGAATTTGGAAGATTGTCGTTATAGCTGCTTGAATATAGTTCGCTTCTGGGTTCTTTGTGTAGCAGACATCGACAGGATATCTTCTGCCCGGAATTTTGAAGATGGGTGCATCATCAAAGTAGTCCGAGAACTTGGATGCATTAATCGTTGCAGAGGCGACAATGAGCCTCAAATCTTTCCGTTCTCTGATGACATCTTTGAGTAAGCCCAACACGATTTCGGTTGAAACAGTACGTTCGTGTGCCTCATCAATCATAAGAGCGCTGTATGTTGAAAGTAACGGATCTGTGAGGAACTCTCGCAATAGCATACCATCTGTGAGATATTTGATTTCTGTCTTCTCAGATGTGCTCTCCTCAAAACGAATGCTGTAACCCACCTCAGCACCTAGCTGACATCCGACCTCGTCCGCAACTCTTGTAGCAACCGAAGTCGCAGCCACTCTTCTGGGCTGAGTACATCCCACTTTTTGTATCTGATTTCTATCATTGCGGGTTTTTGTGTACCCGGCCTCCATCAAGTACTGTGGAAGTTGGGTTGTCTTACCTGATCCCGTTTCTCCCACAACAATAAGAACCTGATTGTCCTCAACCTTCTTGAGGAATTCATCTCTGAACTTGAACACTGGTAATGACTCCCTCACGTCTTTCATGGTCTTACGATTCGACGTCTCGACAGACACAGGCTCCTCGTCAGTGGAATCATCTGCCGACGCATCCTCTTCGGCGAAGTCAATGAATTGTGAGTCATCAAACACATACTCGTACTGCTGGTCCAGCTTTACCTGTATTTGATCGGGATTGGCTGCCTTAATCTCGTTGGCTTTTCGAAGCTGATCAAGTTCCCACTGATTCTCAAACCTGAACTTCTTCTTTGTATCTATCGTTTCTGGCTCAGGTCTAGCCTTGGTGGAAAGAAGCTCTCGCTTACGCTTGCGGTCAGCATCAGAGCTAGTCTTATCGCTTCCAGGTAGATTGTACTCCTCGACTTTGTCTGTATCCTTAGTGGAGCGAATGGATTCAATGAGCTCCTTCTTGTCTCTGTACTCTTGAGCCTCTTTTGCACTGAGATCTGTGCGTACCTCAAGGCGTTCAACATCAGCTTCTAGATCAACAAGCCTGGCTTCAAGACGTTTCTTGAGATATGCTTCTCTAGATGTCTTTCGAGCATCGTCCATGTCAATCGGCTGCAGTAGGTTCAGCTCATTCTCCTCAGCCTCTGTTGATGGGCCGTCTGTGGAAACACTTTCCCTCAATCCGTCTTCATCATCATCCCAGAGATCTTTTCTCCTCCGGTGCCCCTTTCCACTTATTGTTGACATGTATGGTTATCTGAGCGCATCCGGCTGTACTGTAGAAAGACGTCTGATGAGCATCGCGGTACCACTCCAAGCACTTTTAGATCTATAAAGCATGAGTCTTCAGGGCGGTGCAAGGAGAAGATCGTCTAGAATTGCACCCGCTGACGATGAATCGTCATTCATTCTGCCCACACCAATGTCAGCAGCCTTGTCGGTGTCCAACGGAACCTGCGACGTACCAAGCCAGGTATCTCTACAAAGCAGATCACCCGGTGTTTCCACATATATTCCACCTTGGACTGAGCCCTACATTATTGGAGTT